GGTCAGATATTGGGACAGCATGGACTACGACTTTCTAACTTCTTTGATCAGTAGTATGCCCCGCCGAATTGAAGCCTGCATTGCTGCCCATGGTGACTTGACAAAATACTAACTGTACACTTGTCTTTGAATCTGGAGTTATGTTCTGCTAATATTCACATTTAATACGTGAGTAATGAGTGAAAAAAAATAAAAATTTACAATCTTTAAATTCTCAATAATTTCTGGTTGTACTGGTACAAGAATCATCTGATTTGGATGATATTGTATCAGATTAACTTTGTCTACCATCTATTTGTTATAGCCAGTATGAAGTGCAAAGTATCACATTGGAAACTATAATCCCTGATTAGAGATAACGGCCAGACTGACACAAGCATCTTTTGTATGGCATCCTACAAAATGGCAGCTATGATATTGATTTGAAACTCTCTGCTTATCAGAATTGCCTGTACGTGTTGATTGATCATCTTAAAAGCTTTTGTTGATGTGTTCAGTGACCCTGTCTGCTGTAATGATTGTCAGAGCTGTCTTGGTCAACCATCTCACAATTTTGATACCTTCCCACTAGTCTGAATACTGTAGCTTGAGAAAAGTACTAACAGCATCAGGGTGCTTCACTGACAGGAAGTCCTGTTTGTTGTGAAGGAATGCATGAAAACATTCCTGTGGAAATGATTGAGTAACAAGGTGCACTATGGGCTTTCTACATGTTAGAGTTGTATCCTTACTATGGTGTCATTATCATGTTTGGAAATCATTTACAGAGTCTTGGCTATTCTGGAGGTAATTGTATCAGATGGGAATGAGTGGGCCTGAAGGATGTTGTTATATACTGTTTCTTCCCAGACTTCCTGGATCAGATGCTGAAATAGATATCTAAATTTCTCATGAAGTACAATATGGAACAAAAGTAGGTTAAAGTGCAAAGGAGTTTTAGACAGAACAAAGAATTAATTCTTGATGAGTATAGCACAAATGCCAAGAGAGGGAAGTAAAAAATGTGATTTTTGTAGACGAAAGTGCTTTGTCTAAGAGATAAATGTCATGATGAGCTTATTACTTTTAACATGAGCCTTGGTGCATCTGGGTAATCAGTGTTCCGAGATTGCTGGGTGAAAGCAAACTGTAGGTATTTGATCAATAGCTGATCAGATCCACCAACATCCGTCTCATTTGCTCACCATCATTCACACCCTCAGTTCTAGAAAGTCCTTTTACCAAGGTCTTCAACTTCCAGGTCACCATACATCCAAATGTTTTTTTAGTAGTGTCCAATAGAGTTGCATAGCACATGCTTATTTGCTTGTACTAAGCCTTGAACTTCAGAAATGCTGCAAGAGCAACCCAGTCAAATTGATTAATTGTACGTTGACAATCCAAGACTTGTAAATTATATAATTTCTTCAGGATATATGAAGACTGGAGATTTCATGTTTAAAATTGTTTATCACATTAAGTGTAAGATTCTGTTTAGCACAGTAAACAAGGAACACATTTCCAGTGAATTTGAACAGTCCAATTTAAAATATTGATTACAATGTGTTGCAGAGCAAGTGTCTAATCAGTCTGACACCCATGTTTGAAAAGGCCAGTTAGTGTCAGATAGTGTGTTCTCCAGGCCGCCATGATTAGTTAGTTTTTACCCCTGAAAGCAACAGACATTCTGCCACATTGTCTGACACTGCAAAATGTTAGCATGTTATGTTTCACCAGTAGTCTTCACCAGTAATTCTTTCGGAATAATTTTCAATTGTGTCCTTGGTTTGTAGGTCTGTTTGCCTTTTTTGTTATTGATAACCAGACATGAACATTTCTGTAGTCCCTGCCTTGTGCATTGGTAAATGTGTTTGGTAGTGTCTTGAATCATACACTGAGATGGAATTCCCATGTATGCAGTAAGACCTACCGCTACAACCATTGATCTGTTCATGTTGTGAGGAGGAAGCATTGAAGGATGGAGAGACTAAGCATAGGTGGAGGCGAATACCAAATTGATTTGATTACAAGTACATCCAAATGAATATAATTTTCTTCAAAATGGTGTCGTCAGTACTCCATAGACATTAATAGCATCAAACTACTGCTTTGTTCCAAAGTTGATTAATCATGGTAAATCTTAACTAGCACCAGCAGTGAGAGGGTCGTCTAATTATGCTGCAGTACTAATCACTCAGATCAATACCAGATCAACAGGAAATGTGTTCTATTTATCGTGTGTATAATGAGTTTCTTGTATCCTTGTGCAAGAAAATCTAGCCAAGCATCTACTCGTGCAGGTTTCTCAGAAGGAGCTAGGATTGTTAAAAACAAACAACTGTGAGACAGATGATCAATAATTTATTGCATTTACATAGCCCTGTTAGACTGTAGGTGATCCAGCCACAGGCACACCACCAATACTGAACCACGTATTGATTTTACAGGCAATATAAAAACATTCACATATTTCACAGCAATAAAATTTTCATCATTCATCATTAATTTGATGAGCTGCATCTGGTTGTAATGTCTCAAGAGATTGATACCCTGGATAGGGACAGATTATCGGATTATCACCACACATGATATTTTCTCCGTGTGTGTCTCAGAAAACTGTTTAACCTCACTGGGCAGTGTTTGCAGATAGCCAGGAATTTGTATGGCTTTTCATAGCTTGTCAATATGATTCAATATGCTAACAGCTTAACATTTTGGTTGTGTTTATTATTTGCATCATGTTACTTTGTCAAAAATAATTTTAAAAAACATTTTATGACAAATCCGCTCGTCACTTTGAAGACCCCACACATTGAAGACCCCACATGGGTACAATGTATGAAGCCCATTTCTGGTGTCCCCCGTCGTGATATTTCTGGTATATGGCTAAAAGTGGCATAAAACCATAAAACCTCACTCACTTACTCACTCACTCATTCACTATTCCATTCTAAAATGCTGCCATTCTCAAAGATATCGTGAATCCATTGGAAATATTGGCGAAAATGCGATTGTAGATACTTGATTATCATCTGAATTATTTTCAGTTGTCATGTTAAAATAATTACGCTTTTTCTTTTCATAGTCATGTCATGCTTGTGTGGAATGATACAAAAACTTGCTGCTTGTCATTTTCGAACCTGGTCCATGGCTGAACATTTCTCCATGTGTTTCATTATTTATGCAATAAAAGTGGACCAGGATACATTTAATGTTTAAGAGCATCATTGACCATTTTGGATCATATACTTGTACTCAGTTATTCTATGAACATGATCTGTCAGTGAAGATGTGATGATCAATTAGAAAAGGCTCTAAATCAATTCAAAAGTTCAGTGCAGCATAGCAGACATTTTGATTCTCATTTCCACAGGATAAAACTACATTTTTTCATCATATTTTGGCTGATCATTGCACACAGTATGTCACAACTATATTTAGTGACATGTATTTGCTTATCAGTAGCCTGAAGTATTCATCATAAAATTACATACCAAACTAAATCATATTTCAGGGCTAAATTAAGTATTTATGAGAGACTTATATAATGAAAGAGGACCGACACTACATTATGGTGTCACAATTCAGTGTACAGAGTTACCTCCCTTGGGCATGACAGCCAGGTATGGGTTCAACCCTGGTTTGTCATGACTATATTTGACACTTGGAGCTTTGCTCCCACTTGCCATGATATAACTGGAATCCTGTTCAAAGGATCATTCAACCCAACTCCTTCACTCATTTTGTGGTTCATTCTAATTTCAGAATGAATTTATTTATTATTCCAGTATTATGGATATGAGATATTACATATATTAGTATGTACTAATAAAACTAACAAGTAGAAAAGTGGAATTATCTTTAATCAGTAACATATTGGTGGTTACTCCTCACAAGTGTGTAAGGATGCTTACTTGATACTGAGAAAATGCAATCTTGGTATATCTTGTTTTTTTAGGCCTGGCACTTAAACATTGATTCCACAGTAGAGTGTCTTCATATTAATCTTTTAATGCTGTGCGTGGGTAGAGACCAGCATGCACAGTGCCAGAATTGCTCAGCCATCTGCCTGTGTATAACTTCATTTAGATGTAGTGTAGACAAATGTGACAGCTTCATTATACGGGCCTCGTCCAATTCTCCAGCTGGAATGTAACAGTTAGAAGAATTAGTGCAGAGTTAGTGATGTAAAGCTAAAACTGAGACTGCCTTTCGATAGAATTGTCTCAATATGATTTCCATATATTCTTCTAGTGCTTGTCTTATTTATAGATACAGAGGCTCAGTTATCCTTGTGGGTAAATGGTTGTCTACAATTTAAACACATTTGGAAGAAGAAAAAAAAAGTAAATGCATTGATATGGTTTCCATGTCCAATAAAAATGCTGAACAAAACAAGAAACTGCACATTTGGAGAAATGAATTATATGCTGTGTTCATGGGTGTTGGGCAGTCAAAGAGATAATGTTGCCCTGCTGTTGTGAATGCAAGAGGGATGACTAGTCCATGTGAACCATATAAATGATCCCATCGTGCTACAGCTGACTGTGAAGGATGCATCAAGCCAACCTTAACACCTATTCCAGGTCTAGTGCATGCTCATTACATCCATAAACCAGATTTATCCACTAGCAAAACACGTTGTTCTATATTTGTATGTATAGGACATAAAGAAACACATCGGAAGTTCCTTATTATGTTTAGTATATATTTGATTGTATATTTATGTGAACCAATGATCATGCCTGAAACTCAACATTTCATACAGTTTGAAATCCAACAATGTCTTGAATTAAACAAAGCTCCTAACTGACACAGAAATAACTGTATTTGGTGTTTAACTTTGAAACTACATTTATTTCTTTAGGACCAGTTGCCTTAATGTTATATCCAGAACTATATCTTTGATGAACTGAGATGACGTTGTTGGATCAAATGAAAACTGATTGCATGGGTGAAGTAAAATCTTTATCATGTGAAACTTTTGTATTGATAATGGATTGTGATGTTGTGACTTCCAGGTGTGTCCCACTACACAAGGACCCATGAAAACTCAGAAGACACATGCCTATTTGATGAGGTGAGTACCAGCTGACCTTCAAGTGTATTGTACAGGATATGCATGAGAAGCCTGTGTTTAATGATCAGACCAGCGTGATGATTGACTGTTGGTTCAATATATGCCAAAACATCAATATCATCTCCTTGAACATGAAGTTAAGTGGTACACAGAGGCTTGAACACCTGAAGCAGGTGGACTAGGAACGTATTTCCATGCAAGAAATTAGATTTACAACATCCACACAAGTGCCTCCATCATACTGCAACATGACTTGTAAACTCTGAAAATAGGAGGTTAAGGAAGGAAAAACAACCCTTGTTCTCTTTCTTGGCCTTTCTGTAATTAAGTTCCCCTGAACTGAACGTTGTGTTGAGCTGTATCTGGGCATATTGATCTACCTTGTCCATCCAGCCAACAAAACTACAAAAACGTTTTGTATCTTTCCTCTGAAACCTTTTGGCCATGGTCCTGAAGCTGGACATGGATAAGCACTGGAGGCCATTTTGTAATATAGGGGAAGGTTTGCACAACACTTGTCAGGATTGTTTGTACATATGAACTATTGGATGTATAGTGCCCTTTAATGACCTTCAACATCATAGCTTTTAGACAAATGGGTGTTCAGTCTTTGAACTGTTAAGTGAATGTGCCCATGTCAAATAAAGTTTGAGGGATTGACGACGGGATAGGTTTCTTTATTGCATTGTGTCAAAGTTGGTCTTTGTCGACCCTGAAATCAATTTTTTAAAGAAAGAGAAACGATGGGTAGTAATAAAGTGTAAATCTGTAACTGACTGAGACATATAGCGACATCTTTTGTCAGAAGGTAGAAGAGGGTAGGTCTTATTGCAGGATTAACAAAATGTGTCAGATAGATAGTATGCATTTGAATCTTATGTTCATGGGTGATGTCTCAGCGATAGGACTTTTTGAATATTATTCATCAATTTATTCAGATCTGATTGTGTATTTTGATATACAGTAAATGTGATATGGAGTAAGATCATATGCTCAGCATTATTTTCTCTTTTATGGTCTGTATTAGTTACATATTAGTGAGTGAGTGAGTTTGGGTTTATCCCGCTTTAAGCAATATTCCAGCAATATCATGGTGGGGGACACCAGAAGTGGGCTTCACAAGCAAACGCTACAACCACTAGGCTACACCACTAGATTTTGATTTGAAGTAACCTTCAGCCTTATTTTCTGTCTGTGGTATTTAATTATTGCCAATATTCAACAACCATGTTAGCAGTAGAGCCTTATTGCTCTGTTTTTCTTTCTGAAAGAGAGATTTCTGGATGTTAATGTGAATTATTCATATCAAGGTGACCGTTAACATGCCCTATGCTTGTAAATGTGTTTTGTTAAAACATTCAGTCTAAATAAAATCAATACAATACCTCTATGAATGAAGATCTGTGTGATCTTTCTATTCAGCCATATTGAGAATTGAGGTGCAAGTGAGTGAAGAACTGAGACCAACATATCTCTGATTTTATGTTTTGAAAACTAATGTATACTGAGAGAATGCCATCCGCCAAAACAACATTACAGTATTATGTGTAGTGTAGGTATACATTTGTAGTGTAACAAGTGTGCCTGTTTAGAGGGGCCACACATAATACTTTCACATTGTAGTGGTTATAGTGAGTAGTCTGTCATTGTTCACCATTTCTGCTCATAAAGTTAAGGCAAGGAAATATTTGTATTCTATGTAGGATTTCATTTCTACAAATCAAACTTTCCAAATAGAGATGGTTAAAAAACAAAGTGAAATAATTTCAGAAAAATTACAGCTGATCGGCTCAAGAACTCAAGGGAGCCTTTTTAGAGACCAGGTGGTCATGGATCACTTGTAAATGTCCTCAGGTCTGGTGGCATAGAGGTGTGTCATACAGGAGCATTGATGTTGGAAAGCATCAAAACCTTAAAACATGTAAAAGCTGACTGAAACATACAGTACATTGTCGATGGCAGTTATTTTCATGTATGTTATTTTTTTCAGTCATTTGAGTGGCCAGTGGCTCGTCCTATTGAGAGTGAAGAGGTTATTGACATTCAGGTGTTCAACTACAACAAATACCTCAGTAACAGGTGAGTACAAGTTAACATGGTGACAACACTATGTGAAAGTCACAAAACCCCTTTCCATTTTCATGACAAATAATTCAGTAACCATGGTAACAGGCCAGTACAAGTTTATTTTATGATGCCAGCTACACCCAAAAAGATGGTTGTAACTGGCGTGTGCTTGGAATACAAGACTTTATGAAATAACACTGACAAGTATAAACCATAAGCTGGCAGATGCAAGGTACACTTTGTAATGCCCATAATGAGTAAACTGTGTCGGTCTAATCTGGTGCAGGGTTGTGTAGCAGCCTGTGAAGTGTGTGTCGGTGTGCTGGCCCACTCTGTAGATGCTGCAAGGAGTGTCTGAGTAGATAATCATCAGGGATGGGGGAACTTCCAGACACATTACTGAAAAAATGAAGTAATAAGGGCATGGGTTAAAACAAAACCTACCAGACCTTCCAGTAACAGTCCATCATAAAACCTATTGACTTGGTGAGGGGGCCGTGTCTGCACCATATAAGATGGAAATATATGCCATTATTCATTCTTGATGTTAATTTGGGACTGAGGATTTCCATGGTACTTACGTGATACCAAGACTTTCAGTGTGGGTGGTTGAAACCCAATCTCCATAATCCATTTGTATAAATTATTTGTATTGACATATTATACTATCTGACTGAGCTTGGACTTAATGGGACGGTTTACAGTTTGGTGCAAGGCACTAACACAGTTTTGTTCATGGCAGTATATCTGAAGTTGATGTCATGGCACATACTTGATTCCAAACTCTGGTACAGTAGTTATATGTCTAAAGGGAGAAGGTTATATTACTGACTATGGTCCATTTATCGGGCTGATTCCCAGAAACACATAAAGACTAGTGGTAGAGGATAACGATAATATTGCCGTCCTTGAAGATCAATCCAGGCATAAACCTGTTTACACAAAGCGAGGAGTACAGCTCTTTTTGTCAGATGCACTTGAGGGGTTTAATAGCTGATAGAAGTAAGCTTTCATTTGAAAAGAAGATACATATATTCTTGCAAACTGCAGCCTGCTTTGTAGGAATTAGGAAGGCCCATCCGGAAAAAACAACACTGGGTGCCAGCCCAATTGTTGAAGTTTCACATCAAGTCAAACATATCAAACCCGTTTTAATCCCTCAGTGACAAATTTGTTCATTCTGTTTTATGCTCTTTTCCTTTTTTAATTCAATTTTGGTCAAGCATTTGTGATTTAGTATGCCTTTAAGTATTGAAATCTGTAAAGTTTCTGTGTTGACTTTTAAACACATGGCTGCATCAGTCTGTTTCAGCTTATGGAAATATCACACCAAGAAAAGATATAATGCTTAACAATATAGCACAAGCATGTTTACTTGTGGTGATAGATGGCATCAAGTCTTATTAATAATATTTCTCAAATGGAATACTATTTACAGAGGACATTATTCATCTAATATTTGTCATAAGGGTTGTTTATGTTCCCTGAGCCAGAATTTTTAAATTTAACCATCCTCTGTGTGTGTGTGTGTGTGTGCGTATGGATGCGTGTGAGCGTGCGTGTGCATGTGCGTGTGTGTACTAAATACTGATATTTGTCATGAAAGCTAAAAACAATTTCAATAGCCATAAACATCCTTGCACAGAAAGCTGTCAGGTAATATTGTTCCTCAGACAGCCACAAGAGTGCCATGTGTACAAGACATTCATGTCAGACCTCCGAATAGGATATTGTCAGGGATATTACTTTATATCATATTGCAAAGTCTTCTATGACAACAGCTCATTATGGAATTGATAAGATTATGTGAGTTCCTATAAAGACTCCTTCACCTACAAGTGATATTCTCGGCTAAAGATGCACTATGCAAATCCTTTACACCACCTTTACATGCACCCAAGGGATGGCAAGTCCTAGCTGTGGTAATGATCAAATAATGCTGTCCTCAATTGCTTAACAGAATTCCATCACAGATGTTTGGACATCACAATGTCCTGCTGTACTCTGACATCAACGACAATATGATGACGAGCTAGGGGGTTGGAATCAATACTATTTTTGTGTAGGGTCTTGAGTGACAACCTGCTACTGCAACACTAAATGTGAAACACTGACGAATAGTGTTCACAAAATTATCTATGATCTGTGTGTCACATTAAGTAGAAATTGGGTTTTCGTTCCTGAATGTTTGCTTGTAAACAGTAATTACTGAATTGTATATGCCCCATTAGAATGATGGGTAATGTCTTGTCAACAGATGATTTCAGTTCAAAACGTATGTGTAATTTTGTTTGTCTTTAAGGTGTATGTTGCTTTAGCAAAGAATCCAATTTTCTCATGAAGTATGGTATCCATAGCAACTCAATTATTGAGTTTAATGTGATACCTCCACCCATCTATACAACATAGAAGCATCTGATTGGAATATGGATATTGAATGTCTGAATCCCTTCCAGCCCCTAGATCACTGGATGTAATAGGTTCGACTAGGTATGGTAGTGGTAGGTGTTGGGGCTAGAGTTCTTCCTCCACCAGCAGACAACATAAAAGTTCCTAGCCACCATATCCCACTGACAGGCTGCCACACTGGACCTGCTGTCAGAAACAGCCCTACAGACCAGCACATCCCCATGCATACAAACAAGTAGAGCCAGGCCACAGTACTTCACACGGCAGCAGCTAGGACTACCACCAATGTCCTGTCCACAAACACTTACATTGATAATGTCTTCCTTCCACAAAGTGCCATTGATTGACCATCAGTGGTGGTTTTGGAGGCCTGTGATATTTATTTAATGATGTCTATTCATCTTATTGCCTGGTTCGTCTATGCTCAGTGACAGAATAATGGTTATAGGTGTTCTACAATCTATACAATTCCCTTATCTCTACATAGGTCAGTATATTCTACCCAGTACCCCTCCTGACATACGTTCTAATAAACTTAATATTACCCTTTTTCTCCAGTGAAGTATGTTTTCAATGCCAATCTGTATTTTGTCTCTATACATAATGACTCTGTGTCCCTGGTGCTCTGTGTTGTACTTGAGTGTCACTTGAGTGTAATCCCAGCACTGTCAAGGCTGTATGAACCTGTCCATCAGCACCAAGCTATGTCTCTGTACAGCTGTATGAACCTGTCCATCGGCATCTAGCTTTGTCTCTGTACAGCTGTATGAACCTGTCCATCAGCACCTAGCTATGTCTCCATACAGCTGTATGAACCTGTCCATCAGCACCTAGCTATGTCTCTGTACAGCTGTATGAACCTGTCCATCAGCACCTAGCTTTGTCTCTGTACAGCTGCATGAACCTGTCCATCAGCACCTAGCTATGTCTCCATACAGCTATATGAACCTGTCCATCGGCACCTAGCTTTGTCTCTGTACAGCTGCATGAACCTGTCCATCAGCACCAAGCTATGTCTCTGTACAGCTGCATGAACCTGTCCATCAGCACCTAGCTATGTTTCTGTACAGCTGTATAAACCTGTCCATCAGCACCTAGCTATGTCTCTGAACAGCTGTATGAACTTGTCCATCAGCACCTAGCTATGTCTCTGTACAGCTGTATGAACCTGTCCATCAGCACCTAGCTATGTCTCTGAACAGCTGTATGAACCTGTCCATTGGCACCTAGTTTTGTCTCTGTACAGCTGTATGAACCTGTCCATCAGCACCTAGCTATGTCTCTGAACAGCTGTATGAACTTGTCCATCAGCACCTAGCTATGTCTCTGTACAGCTGTATGAACTTGTCCATCAGCACCTAGCTATGTCTCTGTACAACTGTATGAACCAGTCCATCAACACCTATGTCTCTGTACAGCTGTATGAACCTGTCCATCAGCACCTAGCTATGTCTCTGTACAGCTGTATGAACCTGTCCATCAGCACCTAGCTATGTCTCTGTACAGCTGCATGAACCTGTCCATCAGCACCTAGCTATGTCTCCATACAGCTGTATGAACCTGTCCATCGGCACCTAGCTTTGTCTCTGTACAGCGGTATGAACCTGTCCATCAGCACCTAGCTTTGTCTCTGTACAGCTGTATGAACCTGTCCATCAGCACCTAGCTATGTTTCTGTACAGCGGTATGAACCTGTCCATCAGCACCTAGCTATGTCTCCATACAGCTGTATGAACCTGTCCATCAGCACCTAGCTTTGTCTCTGTACAGCTGTATGAACCTGTCCATCAGCACCTAGCTATGTTTCTGTACAGCGGTATGAACCTGTCCATCAGCACCTAGCTATGTCTCTGTACACAGGACATTGCACATTCTCACATGTGCTTTTATGAATGAAAGTCAATAAAAGAAGAGCTGTCTAAACCCCATGTTCCAGTACAACTCATATTACCTGGTAATGATCAGTTGGTTTCTCCAGAAATGCCTGTCATGTACCATATGCCTGTATGATACTAGAGATTGACAAGATAGAGAGCCACAAGTAATACTTCAAAAGTTGACTTATAACTCAGAAACTAACACTAATATTTACTTCAACAAAGGCCTGTCATAACTGCTTATACATCTTTTAAAATTATGCTGAACATGTAATGATAAAGGTACTAATGTCAACTGACTGCTCTAGACTACAAGTAATATAATTAAAGAAATAGTCTGACATCAGAAGAAAATAGACAATGGCTCTAGCACACTTTAATATTTCATAGACCAACTCAGCTTACCAAAGACTTCATGTAATGATCTAAAGGACACAGTGAAGGCTTAATTGTTGATTACATTAGTGATGGTTTAATGACAGAATGACAGGTAGTGGTGGCAGTGCTGGATTACAGACAGTTCAGTTTATAAATGATTCCTAGTTAGATTCCTAATTACTGAAAAACCCTGATAAAAGCAAAAATGTAATTTAATCATGTTGGACCATCCATCAATGTATGGAGCCTGCACCCTTCAGTGTAGTTGAAGCAAGGTAACATAGCCTTGTAGTTAAAACTATTACACATCTCACGACAGGCCCTGGTTTGATTCTCAACATTGGTACAGTGTACAAAATATTGCTTAAAGTGTAAAACCATGTTCTCCCAATGTTTTATACAAGATGAACCAGTGCGTCATAAAGGATGACTGACTAGCAGTATGCAGCTAGATGAGAATGATATATCAAATATTAATAAACGTATTATGTTTGATTTACATGATTCTATTTGTGCTGCAAAAGCTTCACTATAAAACCATTTTCATGGCAGAGTAACTGATACACCTAGTCTGGTAACAAATGTTGTCACTTTAAGAAAATTACTTCTTTCCAAAATATCCCAAGGGAGTTCTTTCAAACCGATATTTTTTCTCTTATGCCAAATGAAGCCTTCTGAGAACAATCTATTTCAATGGTTCCACTTAAAGGTCATAATGCCTGTGCTAATGTTTAGACGGATGCATCAGTTTTCATGAAAAACCCCACAGTGACAACCCAAGAGAGCTTTCAGGTTTCATTTAAATGGCATATTTAACTATAAACTGTGATACCAAGCACCTGTGGGCAACCAGGAGCCTGTTTAGCAGCACCTTATACCATCATGATGAAACAAGCCATGGTCAGTAATCAGTCATCCACTTCAAACCAAACAGTCTTACAAACATAGTGTAAAAGATGATATGTTAGTATTCATGGCTGTCGGTACAACACATTTCTGTTATAGCCTTTTATTACCAAGCCATTCATTATTATCTCAATGTCTGTATTTTTGGGTAACAATGATTCCATGAAATTGAAGAGTTTCTTAATTATATTGATGATAGTAAATGAAATGTCACATTTTCAAGTTGCAACTTCCATACTGATGTGCTTCTATTTTGATGAAGATTAAGGAGTTAGACTCTTACTTGGATATTTAATTTATACACTACTAGAGTTATAAATTATTCATCCTTACAGCCCTGGAGTTGATCTTACAGACAAACCAGAAGGTTTCATCTACCACACTGTGGATGACACGTGTATGGATATGGCTGTAAGAACAAGAACTAGTGGCATCAATTAGATATCAGATGATCTATCTACAAAAAGAACCATGACAATCATCACCAATTATTTAGAATGACATTTTTTTCATTCCCCTTCGAAAATATATTGTCAAAAGAAAATAAAGTCCATAATTTTATTATCTGACAAGGCAGAAATACTGGTACATAAATTCTAAGTGGGTTATCAATTCTATTATTATGGAACCTAAACAAATTTGTAAAGGAAAATGTAAATTGAACAAGGTGAAGGTTGTGAAGAAACTCGGCGATAACATCTTGCTTACAGTGGATCATAAAGTGTAGATGGAAGGGTCTGTAATGAGCTTTTGCCTTGCAGATTCTAGGATCCAAAGGCAGAGGGTTAGATTCCACTGGAGTATGATCCTTGATATGATTTTACCAAATCATTGGTTGTACATTAATATTGACATTACAGCCACACTAACCATACCTATATACTTACATACCTACTGACAGACACTGTGCTCAGTGGTTTGATGGCCCCATACACCGAGGTAATCAGATCAATCATTAGCTTCCTTCTTCAATCTCTTGGTGTAAGATCAATTCAACTGATCAACAGCTCTGTAGAAAGGATACAAGACTATTTATTTCTTAATGTCTTGAGAAATCCTTAAAGAATACATTAGTGTTCAATTTTCCATCTATAACTGAAATCAATGGATAAGCCCCAGGCAGTCAAGTGTTTATTTCTCTTCATGCTGGCAAGGTTTCTCAGAAAACAGAAAATCTGTCATCCATCATTCATGGCATGTGCAGACAACTTTATTTAAACCAGGAGTAGTTGGTTGACTAGCATTATCTAAAGACAGTGTGATTTCCCTCATGACCGATTCAGAGTCAAATCAAACTTTCTATGTCACGATTACAAATACACATTGTTTTTCTTGTGTTTTGGAGAAGAAAGAAATCAATTAGTATTTATTCTTCGTTTGATCTCTCCCAAACTGGCAGCTCTGTACATTGATGTTCCAGAATAACTGTGTGTAAATGTACATTTAGGAAAGACACACAGATATCTGTGTTGAAGGATCAAATAATTATAGATCAAGACCTGATGTTGGCACAAGTTCTGAAGGACAACATTGCTGGAGATGAGGAAATTGATTGCACATACATTTTCATGACAAACCTTTGTTTTATCTTTATCTATATAATGGTTACTTTTTTCGAATGTTGCCAATAACAAGACAAGTGATTGATCTTCAGGTATGTGTTAGATGTGGTACATGCTCACACATAAAAAACATTGTTGCTTACATTGCTGTGTACTGTGTTTATGTATTCGGGGAAAAAACTGTCCATGAATAATTGAAACTTCAGAAACAGCAGACTGAACGACCCAGACACTTCAGACCATAGGTTCTTTCTGTGTATCCTGTCTAACATATTGACAGACCTATCAAAGAACAGTCCTGGTTGAATAAGTACTAGACTGCTTTTAACACACAATTGCCATCTGACATATCAAATATAGATCACATTCTCTTGTTCTTCATGCCCAGTCTTTTGCAATATTTTTATTTCCAAGAAGGTAAGCAGACAATAGCATTATATTAATGATTCATAACTTGTGGCTGAATCTGACCAATCATATTTTTTCACAGTATTTGTTTTGGCAGTGGCTCAAAACAATTTGTAAAATGATACTTGAAAGTGAATATTATGTCTGTCTGTAGATATACCTGGTCAATGTAAACTTTACATAATACAGTCATTCATTATATTCTATATGGAGGATTTAACTTTAAATTGAAGAAGCATGAATAGTACCAATTGTTTTACCGTGTTATTCACCACAGGGAGTCCAGGCTGATATATTCTACTGGCAAGTAATAAATAAATCAGTCTGGAACAGGGTACAATTTTGAGTGAAGTCTGAATATACTTCATTAATCTGTTCTGCCTGTAGAAAGATGGATGGGTTTAAAATGTGTGCGGTAAGTAATATGTGTGACTATGATTGTTACCAACTGATATTTCACAAGGCTGGTGACTTTATACAGTTTCAGATGTGAATACATAACAATACAAATATGGTAATCGGTAGTGGAGAGAATGAGTACATTCTGGACATTACTACAACACTGGTGCTTTGTTTACAGACTGGTGGGGACCTTCCGGATGATACTGCAGGAACTCATTGAAGTTGGCAATGTCAAGATATCCGACTCGCTGCTGGATGCTAACAATGTGGTTATGAGAGTAAGGCTTAACATAATATGGTGATAGCTTACCTGCTGTAAAATACCCTTCATTTTATGTTAAGAATGTACAGTTTGAGAGAATACAGGTATGTAAGAATATTATTGACATTATGAGTGAATAAAGGTGTCCAAACACTTTTGACATTCATATGAAATCTCTGCTAAAAGCAGAGTCAAAACAATGTCATCATAAGCCTATTTAGTCATTTCGTAAATGTTTACTTGTCTGCAAGATGAAGAGATCATTTGTGGGTACTACTTTCAGACAACACTGACCTTTGAACTGACATATAACGCCCCAGATGGGAGTGTAGGGATGTGGCAGAAGGGAGGGTTTGAGAAACTGAAGAGTGACGAGCTTCGACGACCATTGTCAGAGGACGAGAGGAATCAGATGAACATCCAGAAATCTGACAATGAGCTTCATCCCCCAGACTCCGATTCTATCAAGTCGTCACCCTCCAAGAGCTCATTCAAAGGTTCCAGACTCAGTCTGGCATCAAAGGCATCATCTGGAAGAGCAAAATCCCCCAAGAAGTAAGTCCCGGTTTGCTGCTGTATCCAGAGTGTAGTGGCCATGCAGTGTTCAAGTATTCTTGTGAGGAAGCTTTGGAGTAGATTGCTAAATACCTGAGGTATTTTTTAAATAAGACTCTTTTAAGAACTGGTTTGAGTTAGATAAGGATGTGTAACTTCAAGGTGGCTTATTGATGTGGTCCTTGTTGGCAAAATGCAATCCTACTCTGTCTCAACAGTTAAAATACTCTCTACTTTGCCATTTGCAATCATTTCCTAGCTGTGTTTCATGTTTCTGACAAATCTTCTGACTCATCCATGTACTTTCAGGTCTAATGACAATGTGATATAAGTTGGGAGAAGTTGATATTCTTTAAAGAACAAATAAACTTTGTTTTTTGTACTCTTTTAACTATTACATATGAAAGATTTGTGGTTAGTTTTATGCGGAACACCAAAATTCATTCTTAAAAAACTTGTGGTTAATTAATACCGAGTGATTAATAGTTGCCAAAAATCGCCTGCTTCACTCTCGCCCGCCAACGAAACCACAGACAGGTTACGTAACTCTGTCGCCAGAGCACTGCAGTGACGTCATATGAGGAAGGATTTTCAGTTAGTTGTATAGAAAGTGTGTAGCAAGCTTCAAGGGGTTGGGCGATGGTGTCGCCATGCACAGATTTCCACAGGACGCCGCAGTTCGTGCTAAGTGGGTTATGTTTGTGAGTACGAAGCGAGTCTCGTGGAAGCCTGAAACGATATCTTACTTGTGTTCACATCGCTTCATGGAAGTTAAAGAATCAAAACTACTTACTAGTTGTAGTAAAATATGTATATGATTGATGACCATAAAGAATTTCCATAACACAACTTGTAACATAACGATTTCTTCCTCGGAAGCGAGGTTGTGGTCGAAGTAACAATAATATTGTAAGTAGTATTATATTGACACCCACCCCCCCCCTCGCTTCCACGAGAGAAATTGTTAAGTTATAAGCTATGTCATTCAAAATCCTATCGGCCATCAATCAAATACATATTTTACTACCAGTAGAAAGTACTTTTGATTTTGTAACTCGGTGAAAACAAACCTAAATAGCATTTATCCTCAGACTGGCAGATGTTCACGACATGGCTCCTCCATTTTTGAAAATCGTAAAGTCACGGGCTAAAGTCTGTTAGAATTAATGAAATTATGGTTTGTTTTCATCAAGTTAGAAAATCAAAACTACTTTCTGCTCGTAGTTAAATATGTATTTGAATCATGACCAAAAGGATTTTGCATGACACAACTAAATACATAACGATTTCTTCCACGGTAGCGAGGTGGGGGTCGAAGTGACAATACTGCGCGATAAATTTCTTGCTACATTCACGTAGTTAACGTCCACTCACCAGTATGTAGATACTAGTCAATGTACGTCTTTATATTGGTCTTATAATCCTAATTAGTTTATTATCATACTTGTATGCATTTTGAAACTAAATAAAAAGCAGACGATCTGCTGATACTTATAGTGAATTTATAACAGGACTGTAATATATAGACATTTTATAGTTTGCCAATGTGAATCATAATTCGCACATACGCTCTAGTGTATGTTGTCTGTCTCATTACACTTTACGGCGAAAACAATGATTCTGTTGAATGCTACGACAAATGAATAAAAACAAAATGCAAATATTAAAATTAAAACAGATTAAAGTTATAGGAACAATGTCCGGCTATTACCTTGTTCAAGGAATGTATCCATTAATATCCACAAAAATGAGTGATATGCCATTCATCTGCAGCTGTTCCAAGTGATGTGTCTTTTAACAGTCTAATATACGAAAAAGTGACATATCGTTTCAGGTATTTCACATTGGTGTATAGTCTCATTGGTCACCCAAGATAGCACACCTGGCCACTAATTGCATAATGTCTGCCTTTCTTTAAAAAAAAGTAATTTAGTTAGCCAATAATGAGCAATCAATCAATGTATTGGCGGTTAATCCTTTGAAAGAAGTACGTTGTTTTTTCGCAGACACGACAGAGTGTATTCAGTATAGATTAGTAAATCTACATACATAAACACTACCTTTTGACAAATCCGCTGTGTAAGTTAAAGGAATTATTCAATCAGCGTGTTATCGATTAATCCTTTGATCGATGTTTATAATGTTGAGTATTTACTCCAGACACAAGAAATGCCAAATGGGAACCTTTGTCAGGTAATCTAAGTGGTATTACCACTAATTATACCTGTAATAAATTCATTAACTGACCATCAAGTGAAGGATGACAAATAACATGTGTAGGTTTATACCACCTAACACGGGTTACAACAAGGGAGTATTAATTGCTGTATTGCATGCAATTTTAATTGCGAAAACTTGTGGGCCGACACTGTTTTGAGAATACAAACAGAACTTCATTGTTGCATAAGAAATACATATAAGCTAAAACTGTATGTACCTATTTACTTCAGTAAATTTTCAGTAGGGTTGTATAGTTTACGAATTCAAATAAATCAAATGTAAATTTTTAATATCATACGTAATAGATGTCATATTTTTACATGACATGATTAAATATTGAGGTAAAAAAACACAGAAATGGGATCAATTTGGATCTTTCATTATGCCATCCAGGCATTAGAAAACCTGAACAAGCCCACACTGCTTTGATACTTTATTACAATCAGATACCGGGGATATTTTCAAATAACTGCACTTGATGGGCACTGTTTAGGTTGAAGAAATTAACTGCAACCGTGATGAGCGAGGTTGAATATCCTTTTTGATATCACTAGCATCTGGCTCGAACAAATAAGGCCTAGCGACACCAAGCGATTTTGACAGAATCGTCTATGAAAACAAGTTGTAACTCGGAAACTAGGCAAAGCAGGAGACAAGATTAAATGACAGTAGATTGTGAGAACATATAGCTTTCATTTTTCACAACAGTTGTCACGATGTCAGGTTTATACAAACCTGTAAACAAGATAATTTACCCCCTGAAATGTACATGAATTCTGCATCGGCCCTAATATCTATTCCTCATATGACATCACAGAGGTGCGCCGCTCTGATTGGTTGAAATTTCGTTCACGGGTGAGAATTGTGCACTGTTGTCAAAAAGGTCGATTTATGTTAATTAAAGATCGAAATGAGTAGTTTTAATGACGGGGTTTCATTTATAACGAAGCCAATTAGTGATTTATGTATTTGAACCCCCCTAGAGTATATGTGATCTTCTTTAAGAAACACACAAATTTCATCACATCAGACTTTATTGTGCAATTCAAATTTCTTATGTTTCACATGGGATCAGTGTATCAAAATAAAAGCTGCAATGATAAATGTAAGTACTTTTTACAAATGCCCATCATTCCATGTTGAAACACTTCTTATGATGGCTGTGAACAGAACGTTGATGCTATATTAGCTTTCAGTGAAATATTATAATATCTACTCTTATTTCTAAAATGCAGATTATCTTTCTCAAACACATACCCAGAAATTAATATTATCTACTTCACAAAGAAACTGCATATGCCCTTTAAAAGGGATTAGCTATCAATAAAAGCATGAATGTGACATGACATTTAACATCAGAGGAAGAAATGTAAACCACAGCAATACGCTCACTGCTTTGGTTATGTATGTCACTGACTAAACTCAATCTGGCAAAGTGTGTAACAGGAATCCATTATTACCAGAGCATTCAGTCAGTTATTTTCCTTGAAAGCCTGAGTCCACATAAAGTTTAAAGGTTCGGCGTGTTACCTGTTTTTATGGAACCAAAGTGGGAAGATGTGTAAAGGGCTGAGGTAGAGAGCTGATTGCATGACACATCAGAAGGAAGCTCCCTTACAAAGCTGCAGAATCTCCAGAAACCCTAGTGTAATGATGTTAGCAAGGTTTGTCACCAGAAACATGTTGCAAAGCAAAATGATTGTTCGAGATATTTTTATGGATTAAGTGTCTTTATTAATTCTTAATTATTTCGAATAATAAAGAAGCTTAATCCATAAAGAATATCTTGGACATCTATAAACAACTTCTAAATGCCTCTGAAAGACATCAAAATGATTGTTTTATTGTGTTTTTGCATTTTTAGGATACAATTGAATAAATTGTTATACATAGTATAGAGAGCATTATTTATTGATATGTAAATGAAGGACAAATATTATAGTACTGTCGGAAATAGAAAAAAACTCTATTTTCTCATTTATCTCTACAATTTATGTAGTTGATATGTGAAATATCTGTTAAACTAAGTTCGGCCTAACTACAGTCTCAGTGGTAGAGAGATAGGAAACAGAGAAAAGGGACTTTACTGAGGGGAAATAAGTGCAGAAATGAGCAATGCGGGTTTTTTCTAAGTCCAAAAAGACTTATTTGGAACAGACCATGGCTTTATGCAAATTAGTGTGCGACGATATTGTATTACAAAGGACACTTTTTAAATGCCCAATTTGAAATTAGATGTAGATTCATTATAAACGATAGCTGACGTAAAAAATAATAACTTTTATGCCGAAACTATTAAGGATGTAGCTACCATGCAGTCTCACTGTCACTATAAAAAGAAACAGATAGGAGGGGTCGCCTCAAAAGCAAAACCTGGGGTCGGGCTTGGGGATAGAGATATCAGCTAAGATAAGATAATCCTTTAGGGCAATTATACTGGGGAGGTACACGGCACGTCATAACAATTTACAAATAATATCCAGCCCTGTCGATCTTTGGGTGGTCATGCCACCTATATACTACGATGCGTTTCTATGGTTTTCGGGTATCATACTCTCTTACATATCTCAACATAAACTTTATGAAAGAAAGACACGTAAGATGTTAATCAGTAGGTGAGACATAGTCAACACACAAGAAAAAGCACAAAATGTCTTTGAGATGACCCCTTGTGCCTGTAGGCAGCACATGCATTTCATGCCAGGTGAGTCGACAGTCCGTCGTCATACCTGGCTGAGCGACCTAATTGCCATCTATAGTCTGATCTATTGTTTTCAGCAGCTATTCGTATTGTTTGGCCCGATTGTACGAGTAAACATGCTTTTCTGGATATCGTATTACACATCCCACTGAACGCCCAGTTAGGCCTAAGTGGGTTATTTCGGCATATGCTATTTGCAATTGTGTAAATTTTAGGGATACAGAGTAACAGCCTAAAAACAGTTTTTTTCTATTTCTGACAGTACTATAGTCAGCATGATTTAAAACTAAATATATACACACATGATGATGTCTGCTTATATAATATTGAGCTATATATGGCTATGGAAAAAGTTGCTGAGACAAGAATAATATTGCATAATAAATGTTTTCAACACAGCCCAAAGAACCTGACATCTGTAGTGAAGATGATGATGAGCAAGAAGCAGGAAGATGACAAACAGGCTCTCATTGATGATCTGGACTCAGGTAATACACTGGGGATGCACTTCACAACACATAGTGGCATTTAAAGTAAGATATTGCCAACAAGGAGTAGGAAAAAAGAGGATTATCTGCAAGTTGTGATACTCAGTAGCGCATTGTATGACACTTCGCGACATCTGGAACAAAATCTTGGCTGAAGGAGGCCAGTTACGACAAGGCGTATTTTTATTACTGGCACTAAGGTCATTCTCTGTTGTGTTCAGGTATGAAATGGCTACCTGTCAACTCGTCCAATATGTATAGGCAAGATGGTGGAGAACTTAACATTATTCTCACATTTACTCTTATCAGGTCAGCTGCAGACATTAATGGAGCATATTTCTGTTTTGGAATACTGGTCTTGGTTCTTCATTCATCCATTTTTTCAGAATCCAAAGAAATATTTTTATTGACATTTATTAAATATGAATTTATATCAATCGATATGTAAGAAATTATTTCTCTTTAATCATGTACACAAGTGTCTTATTCCACATTGAAAGGACATCTCGCCCATTCAAAGACATAATGTCTCCAACAATGATGTTGACCTAACGTCTGACATTAAGTAATAATTTTTATTGTATCAGATTCTTATTCACTTTTATATAGTCCGAGTGATGCGATGATTAACTCTAATCTAAGCAGTGCGCTGGTTATAATGCTGCTTGGAGCCTGATTATTTTGTGGGTGTTGGGTATGTAGATGACGTCAGTCAGTTCCCAAGAGAGGAGTTGTGCTGATTGTATTACTGTAACTACACAGGATATATATATAATTAAGAAGCATTGTCCGCTCACACTTGCCTAGTCAATACAGGTGACTGACACATTTGTCATACAAGGAAACTGAATGTTGAGGCATCTTGGTCCTGGCAAAACAATGTCTGTATCAATTATGCAGATTACTAGAGGCAAGGAGGATAGCTCAGCTTTGATCACCATGATGAATCACTTGGCACAGACACATTCTATATATGGTGATCCAACTGATAATAATAAACTATCATGGCTGCTTTCATGTTTAATCCTGCTGGTTTGAATGGATAAGCTCATTGTTACACAATCATGCAAATTGATCACATCTTGCATTGTGTGAAGACTTGTTCCACAGAGTATTAGTGCTTTCATTTTGTGTCTGGATTAGAAATTAGACCGATTCCTGAAGGATAGGTTTAATCATTCCTCTTTAGCATATATGAGTTAGCTCTACCAGGAATGACGGCATGATATAGTCATTAGGCAAGTTCCATTCACTGAGTGGGTGTATATGTAAGTTATGCAATCTTGTTGTGGAGACACCAGAATAACAACAAACTAGATGTCGCTTGGAACAAACTGAATATATTACAAGACAATTCATAGCATAGTAATTATTATGATTACTTTGTTACAGTTATTTTTACATTTTATTTGATAGGCATTGGCATAGGAAGACCTGACAGGAAGATGGTTGACTGACTAAATGTTCAACATAATTCCCTGCCACATATGCACATTTTTACAAACCATGTTGGATGGCTCTATCTAAGTTTCAAACATGTCTTACTCAAAGTAAGACAAAGGTAGTACAAAGCGTTCACCATAGCAGCTTCATGTTTGGGAACACATTAAAGTCTGACAGAGCCTGATCAGGGGAATAAGGGCAATTATAGCATGGCAATGACTGATTTGTTTGGAGTTATGCTGACAGTACTGATCAGGAATAGAAGTATCTTCCATAGTCACAAATTTTTCAAGATCTTTCATCAGCATTGGACAGGGCTAGATTATCATGAGAGATGTTCTGCTTGGTGCATTTTAGAACAGATTTTCAGAACCTTTGGAAACCAACAAGCTTCCTTCATTGTCTGAGTTACTATATTTCCTGTGGAATACCAGAAAAATTATGCTTAGTCATTCACCAATTGGTCCTTACCCCATTGTAGATTGGTTGTTGGATGGTTGGTTGGTTGTTTAATGCCACACTCAGCAATATTCCAGCCATATGGCGGTGGTCTGTAAATAATTCAATCTGTACCAGACAATCCAGTGATCAACAGCATGAGCATCATTCTATGCAACTGGGATACAATGACACGTGTCAACCAAGTCAGCGAGTCTGACCATCCGATCCCATTAGTCGTATCTTACGACAAGCATGGGTTTCTGAAGATCAATTCTAACCCTGATCTTCATGGGTCACCAAATTGTTGATTGTTTGTATCATTTCTGGTGGTACTGACATCAGAGACCCTTTGTTATGCAAACACTTCTTCAAATTCCTCAAGCATGTGCAATTTCCAGGTCACAGACCCCTGCTTCCATTTCTGTATTATCTCAATTTCTTGTGGCTATGCCTCTATCATCATGTAATGTCCTGTAATGTAATGTAAAGTTTTATTAAACTTTGAATGTTTGGGATGAACAATCTTCATAGCTAATATATTAGACAGAAAGAGAAGATGATTAATACATGAGCTCTACTTACTGGTTACCTGTTCTGTGGTGCCAGTGGTTAATTGGCTATTTCGTAACAGCACATCTTTCATGTTGGCTTACTCCGGACTTGCCTTCAGGGTTCCTCCAGCATATATATAGGCTGCCAGGGCTCAAAATGCCATCTTGTATTTTGTCAGATGTGTGCACATCTCTCTCATATGCCTTCATTTTGTCTTCAATATGGAAAGCATACTTAGGCACATAAGGCGCCAAGATATACAGAGTAATGCTGTGAGGGAAGGTATGTTTCATTACTATGTTTTAGTGGACGTCTGACCATTACCTTGTAATACGTTTGTTTCATGTGATCATAATGACAGTCTGCCAGTGTATCCAGTAAATAACCATGAATCTACGGAACTTTGTCCTCTGTCTGGTATGGTGGTGGATGAAGTCTTCCCTTCATCACTGGCTGAAGAAACAGGTAGTTTGATTCATATCACCTTCAGTACCAGTGTCTATGCAGCCTAACCTGCCCACTATGTTACAGACTCCCATGAGCTGGATGCAAAGGCAGCAGAAGTGGCCTCCATGTTGGCATCTACAGCCCAGGAGCGACTCATGGATGACAGCCAGAGCCTAGACAGCCAAGGCTCCACCATCACCATGTCCGGCACCGCCAAAAAGTAAGTGAAGTTAAACTTTGTGTTGTTTTGACATGATTGTACTCATCAGCCACGTCTTTCATATCATGATACTGTTCTCTGTTTATTGTAACCCCTTTACACTGCATATTGTCTTCTGTGTGATTGAAGGATGAGGTCCCGAGTCATTCCAGATGCTCCCACACTCAAGAGCCAAGATTTCCAAGTAAGTACTTCTTTCAACATGTTTTAGGAGGTTATGTTGTTCCCTCAAAATAGAGGTCTCAGATCACCAATAAGAGCTTATCTTCATGATGTGAACATTGGAGTAGAGATGGTTGTTACTTGACTTGTGATGGTTCTTGTGTTATAGTTACACTAACTGGTAGTGGAATGCAGACATGATCGTCACAGGATGAACTTCATATTGACATAAAGGCCGTTGGTTTTTTAGGATGTGTATATGTTGTTCCATTTATATGTCAGTAGTATCTTAACAGAAATGACGTGTGAGTATAAGTGAGTAAAGAAACCCTTGAAGCTATAGATATGATAAGTTTTTAACAATGTAGATATTTTCCCAAGGTGTGTATCACAATCATTGAGGCCCGTCAGCTGGCAGGATTGAACATGGACCCGGTAGTCTGTGTCCAGGTGGGGGACCAGAAGAAGTTCACCAGTGTCAAGGAATCCACCAACTGCCCATACTACAACGAGGTATGATGACCTTTGTGTGCACTCCTTTGTTGTGTCCCAGGATATGTATGGTAGGCAGCTTGTTACAACTACAGGACAAGATGCCCTAGATCCGAGCCAGAAGTCAGTAACATATACACAGTTGAAACAAGTACTACCTCATTGTTTAGGATAGATTGCAGTTAATACAATGCAACTTAGATTTGATTAATGTAGATGAAACGGCCACAGAATAAGAAATATGTTACAAGTGGAAATGACTGTCAAAAAGTCAGTCCCTCTAATAAAGACCTTTCAAGAAAAATGCTTTAATACTAACTGAAGAAAGAAGTTTACCAGTATTATGCCTATGATGCAATTTTAAGAAAATATTATTAAATGCTTAATGTAATGGTCAACATGCATGTTTCTCTTTCAGTATTTTGTGTTTGATTTTCACCTGCCTCCTGTGATGCTGTTTGACAAAATTGTCACTCTAACGGTAGGCTTTTATGTGAACATTCTGTTTTCTGATGACCACATAATTTATCTACAAGTTAAGAAATGATTTTGTCTTACCCTTTTATAATTTTTTTATTGTAATAATCAGTAAATATCAGTAAGACTAAGCATTTGAAGCACTTAATGATTATATTTATGCCTTCTTCAGCATGTCTAATACTGGTAAATCATATTGAATATAATGGATGATTGATTCATTGATTGATTGATTGATATCATGTCATTTGCAGATCATTATAACTTTCTAAGAAAATATTTAGTCTGATTGTTTTAAGATTTCCTTACTCTTTGAATTCCAAAGATATTATGCTTTTAGATCAGTCTAAATGATGATATGTATCTTATAGTATTTTCATGACATCAAGTTACAATGATCTGTACATAAATCCCATTGTTCATCTCATGAAAACATATCTGTGTATAATGCGTTAGACTGGAAAGTCAATGGCAACAAGTTCCAAAATATCTGAACAGTTTTCAAATTACACTCTTTAATGATGCCGAAGACTCCAACATTGCATTAATTACCAAAATATCAGCAACAGTCTAACAAATTATATGAGATAAAGTGCTTGCCCATCAACAGCCATGATACCGACCCACTATGATGTGTGCATGTGCAGCCCTGGAGAGCCAAGCAATCCAATAGTTAACCATTCCTTTATCTACCTAGGTGCTACATTCTCGTAACTTCCTCCGTTCCGGCACCATTGTAGGCAGTTTCAAGTTAGATGTCTCCACAATATACATGGCACCTGGTAGATTATGTATTCTAGTCCTTTTTTATATTTTTTATCCGTTTTTTACATATGTATCATCTTTTTTGACCATTAACTTCTAGCTGCAATTGTTTAGCAAGGAAGCTCATGTTATGAGTATATATCATCCAGAAACTATATTTTCAGTGACATGAATGGCCTGTAAATATATGTCTCCTTGCTAAGCAAGTGCATTGTAGAGTTTTTGCATGATCTAGAAGTTATTAACAAGCACAATTAACCCCAGTGTTGACACTAATATTAGAGATTGGTTTCTAATTTGTTTCACATTTTCTTCATTTATTTGGGCTTTTGGGTTATTTATCTTAGGTAAAATTATTTGTATGTTTGGCATCAATTAAAAAAACAACATTGTTAACATGAGCTGGTGCAGGTGTACTAATGGTGAGACTGTCATATTTGAAATAGTATATGTGTACATCAGGAAATTTTAGAATCTTCTTGATCACATTCCCACAAGAAGCCCATGTTTCCTGCCAGACATAGACACATATATATGTATCAGTTGTTTACCTCTTTCCTTCCTCAAACCCAAGCATGTATTATTTCTTTGAGTTATGGCAATGTTAGCATGGCGTAGCAGCGTTCCCATATCTACTGCTGCCAGCATTGTATCATGTGTGGATCGGGAAGGATCAGATAGGAAACGTAACAGAGCATACAAACCAATAGTATTTCATCATGTCATAATAAACATCTGTTCCTTGAACTTAAATGGATATTCCTTAGCTCATGTGATAACCCAGGCAACAAGTGTTCCAGTTAACATGGATTCAACAGTTTCCATCACTAGTTGGGGCTATACTTATGGTTTATGTTCTTCAAAGAACTGATTAGTTTGGGCAGGTCAAAATAAGAAAAAAATGTGTATCTTCATAATAATAATTATATTACAGGAACAAACAACTCTAAACTGTAGTATAAATGGGGAGACAAGAAAAACACATTCCAAATTTAAAAACTTTGATCCAAAAAACAAGTCCATTGTATCCAAAACATAGCATACAAAGTACAAAACAATAAATACTAAATACATGCACATTCTGATTTGAGTTAGTTTGTGTTTAAACACATACACTTGTATCATTGTTTAAGAGTTCCCATCATCTCACATTTCATAACCACTAATCTGGTCCTTCTGATATTTATCACACAATGCCAGAGCCATTTTTGTGCTTGATGGCAATGTTTCTATCCTACTGTTTTGCCTTTGCATGCCATTCTATCAGGTTTGTCAGTCTGGCAGACTCCTTCGCTCCAACCGGCCTCTCGGGACTTATAAACTAGATGTTGCCACTGTGTATGCCCAGCAAGGTATCTCGCTTCTTTTCCAGGCTTTCATTTTTCAAATTAAATTTTACTTGCACGTTTGTTTAATCAAATTTATTCTGAATGAAAACTTCAAATTTTGCCCTGTTGCAGTTTTTTATATGCTAATTATATTTCCATTATGGCTTGATTTCATTTAATGATAGTGTTATATGGTAAATTGATAACGCATTTCCATCACCTAGCTTCATGTAATGGTCATATACACATTACACATCAGAATCTGAATGTTGCGTTAAACACCCATGGGGATTCTGGGTAAGAATACAGGTCACTAGCGGCTTGTTCTTGTCATAAGAGGTGGTGGCTATAATGATTGTTTGGGATAGTGACTTGGTTTATTGCCTGTTATTGTATGGGTAGATGGATAGACAAAGTCAATCATCAGGATATCTGGTCCAGATTCAGTTATTTACAGACCACCATCATATAGATCAAATGTTGTGTGTCATTAAACAACAAACGAATTGTTTCTTGTTTAAAAAGTGTTGACAGAAACCAATTTTTCAAATCAAAGTGAAATAGATTTGAAAATAGAACCTTTTTTATGTTGATCTCAAATTTAGTTTACTTTATATGTTTTTTTTATCAACACTAATTTTATTTGTCAGTAAATGAACCTGCGTTTTTGCATTTGATGAGGTCAAAAATACATATATTTTCTTTAGAGTATTTTCTATGTACCAACATTACTATCAAAGAGAAAACTTTGTTATTACAGGATTCATTGTTTTTATTTCTATGTATGTATACTCCGCTAGGTGTTCTATCTTTTGTCACACTTCATAGTTTTGGAAAGTTTGCTTACAAATATTAATATCAAATGTCAATGTGTGCTTCTTGAACATGTTGTATGGCTATTTGAAAATTTAAGAAAGTATATAGAGAGAGACATATTTTGTAAAATTAATTCACTAAATTGAAAATATATGTTCAGATTTTTTTGTATGGTCCTATTTGTCATACAGTCCTTCCTTCAGACATGGTGTAACAGGCAGAGAAGTACACATTAAAATGGCTGTACACACTAACACATATTAAATAATAACAGTTGTATTCAGTGTCCATATTCTCAAAGTATTAACTTTTACAAATTGCACATATGCTTTAATTAATTTGTCAGACATTTATGTGACATCCATGTAGCTAAATCTGTCTTTTTTTAATTTTCTAACGATATGTTATGAGTAGTTAACAAGAATTTATTATGTTGAAGTTAAATCATATATGTTAATATTTGTTGAAGCTAATTTTTTAACCTTACATTTCAACATCCAGTAATGACATTAATAAGATATTACAATAATTGAGATTAACAAGCTTGAAACTTATTAGTAATGTTGTGCTATTCCGTTCTGTAGACCACCAGTTTTACCACAAATGGGCCATGCTGACAGATCCAGATGATATCAATGGTGGAGTGAAGGGGTACCTAAAGTGTGACATTGCTGTCATTGGTAAAGGGGACTCAGTGAAGGTACAGAGTTCATTATTGTCCAGTGTATGTCAAACACTCTACATGTTGTGTCCATCATGGTCCAAAAACAGTCAGTGATCACATTGTATATGCCTCTTCTGAATCTACATCTAATATCACTGTCTGTGTGCACATATGATTCACGGAGGTTTGTAGACCTGCAGCAATATCACCATACTGACACTAGGGTCCTGGAAGTATGAGTAATTCCAATGTTCATGAAAATGTATGCCTTGAAGATACGTCATGATGTCAAGACCCTTGCCATTGGGACATTTCACTAATGTCAAAGTATTACCTACTCCTATAGAAGGAAAAGGCTTTTCAGCTTCAATGAAGATAGTTGACACATACTTTGAAAGCATATCCATGTATAAAGGGATATTTTATGGATGCTTCACTTCTTTATAGGCCCTTTCAAATATCCTTGGCGGTAAATGTTTTTATTTACATAATGATGGAACTATTTTGATCTTTATGAAATGTGGTAAGTGTTCCAATGTATCCCAAACCTTTCTACCCTGGTGCTATTGGTCCACACTGTAAATGCTACAACTTTTACCCAAACAGATAAGACGAAGCTGCGTAAGTTGTCACATAGCATAGACTAACAGTGTTCAGTTGTCCATCAGTAATAACGCTAAATCAAACACTAACGTTGTGTTAAGAAGATGTCTCTCCTTTCTATCAGCTGATTTATGATTCAAGCTAAATAAGATAACTGTGTTTTATAAATATACTGGCTGATAACTTACATCAGCACATCACACATCTGAGTCACAAAGCAGCTGAAGAAGGGAGAGACAACAGCAGCCGTGCACAGCCTAACACGTATTAGACTAGATTTAAGTGACTTTCATTTGGCTTCACATAATATGTGTGTTGACTTATAACAATGTTATTGTCTGTTTTGAAAATGTTCATTTATTTCTTCCACAAGACATAAAAAGGAAGCTATTTGTAAAGCGCACTGATACAGGAGTTGTATAATGTGGGTGCATAACATGTCAGATCAAATGTAAGATTTCAGACCATGTTGATCCATGTTAAGATCTCTTACTATTCTAAGATTAGGCATATTCCTAACTTTATATTTAACAGATGTCAAATTTGCATGAGTACAAGACAGGACAAGTGTGCATGTGTGACTAACTACAACAAGCCAGCTGTTAGTGTACTGCTTCCTAGAGCGCACCATCTAGAACCCTGCCCAGAAACAACCCTTAGAAACAGTTGTGCATGTATCTGTCAAAGATGAAAATACAATGTATAATCAAATTCTATATGTGAATGGGGACAGATGAAACTAAATGTTTACTGAAAAATGATAAAGGATCCGGACATTTTTGAAAAGGAGATTCACATCTCTTTTTTTATGAAAAGCTTATACTTTCTAACAGCATTGCATTTAATTCTTTGTAACAATTTATTTTAAACATTTGTGGTCATATTTTTCTAAGTCCAGTTGTCTGTACCAGAGAAGTTCATGACACCAAGAAAACTCTTGTCTAAGTTTCAGTGTTTAGAAATACCAGACATTTAGTGCATGTTGTTCAGAGACTATATGCTTTGCTTGGAAATGAGCTTTTTTTTCACTACCTGTAATATTGTTACAGGTTCCTCCAAAATCTGACAAAGATGAAGATGATATTGAAGCGTAAGTCATAGAGATGATTTATTTGTTCTAATGGAACATAGAATTTACTGTTAAACTTGCTATTCTATTCATTATCATTTGCATATCTAAAAACAATCAATCCTTATATGGTCTTCTAACCTTACTGCAGACTGACCACTATACCCAAGGCAGTATGATGTCATGCTCATCCTAATCTTGCAAAACTGCCATATATCATTAGGTATATCTGGAACTGGAATATGTCTGACATGACAATGTACTCCCCCTCCTATTGTACAGAAACCTGTTACTGCCGGATGGAGTGCCGGCTGACCGACAACGAGCCAAGTTCTATGTGAAGGTGTACAGAGCAGAGGGTTTGCCCAAGATGAACACCGGCATCATGGCTAATGTCAAGAAAGCATTCACTGGAGAAAGCAAGGACCTTGTGGATCCGTACGTTGAGGTCTCCTTCGCTGGACACAAGGTGAGTGGAAATGCAGTGAAGCCCAGCATTTAATAATGGATGACAAGGTCCATGTTTCCAAACAGAGAGAGACTCACCAGTTGTTCAATAAGCAGTTTCAAGTAGCAAGTCACATGATTGTTTGTATTAATTTTCAAGCATTAGCAGGTTGGTTGGCTGGTTTGGTTGTTGTTTAACACTGCACTCTGCAATATTCCAGCTATGTGGTGTTGGTCTGTAGATAATTAATCTAAGCAATTGGGATACGATGACATGTGTCAACCAAGTCAGCAAGTCTGACCATTCAATCCCAGTAAGTGGGTTTCTGAAGACCAATTTTACCCGGATTTTTGTGGGTTAGCATTAGCAGGGCTGAAGGAACTGCAATATGTTGATGAGGTGAATCCATTGGATTGAATACCTGGTTGCAGGAGTTTCTGCAGATTCAGTACTTTGCTGGGTGAGAAGGTTTTACAAAGGTTTAAACACTGTCATTGCTATTGTGATCTATCTGATGCCATGTGGAGTAGTTGGGTAGTTGTATAAATATAGATAGGTGTTATATGGTTCTTGATCTATGATTGTATATAGTGTACCCAATGCCCAAGGAGGAGGATGTAATGCTACAGTATATCTGACTACTGACTTGACATTGAATAAATATTTGATGTAACATCACTTTTCATTTCATTTTTAAGGGTCGAACATCAATCAAGAAAGGGTCATATGAACCTGTTTGGAATGAGCAAGTTGTATTCACGGAGATGTTTCCCCCTTTGTGTCGGCGCATCAGAATACAACTGAGAGACAGTGACAGTGTCAATGATGATATCATTGGCACTCACTTCCTTGATCTGTCACACATATCGAATGAAGGAGAAAAAGGTAGCTAAGGCACCTATGACCGGGGCCTTTTCTTTTCCTCTAAAAACAGTTTCATGTTTGTATTGTGTGCACCTCATGAATTGGTTAGAGGTATCTTTATGTCACTTTATTCTGAGCTCCTAGATGTATTCCAAGGCACATTTTTATCAGCTTGAGCTCTAGTCTGAAAATCTTTGTGTTATGTTAGAATTAGTTCCAGTCACATGATTATAGACAATGTTACCAATAATACCTGGAGCTGATGTTTGTTTTTTCTGCCAGTGTTAGACAATGTTACCAATAATACCTGGAGCTGATGTTTGGTGTTTCTGCGAGTGTTAGACAATGTTACCAATAATACCTGGAGCTGATGTTTGGTGTTTCTGCCAGGTGTTCTTTTACCAATAATACCAGTGTTAGACAATGTTACCAATAATACCTGGAGCTGATGTTTGGTGTTTCTGTTACCAATACCAGCTGATGTTTGGTGCCAGTGTTAGACAATGTTACCAATAATACCTGGAGCTGATGTTTGGTGTTTCTGCCAGTGTTAGACAATGTTACCAATAATACCTGGAGCTGATGTTTGGTGTTTCTGCCAGTGTTAGACAATGTTACCAATAATACCTGGAGCTGATGTTTGGTGTTTCTGCGAGTGTTAGACAATGTTACCAATAATACCTGGAGCTGATGTTTGGTGTTTCTGCCAGGTTTTCTGCCAGTGTTAGACAATGTTACCAATAATACCTGGAGCTGATGTTTGGTGTTTCTACCAGGTTTTCTGCCAGTGTTAGACAATGTTACCAATAATACCTGGAGCTGATGTTTGGTGTTTCTGCGAGTGTTAGACAATGTTACCAATAATACCTGGAGCTGATGTTTGGTGTTTCTGCCAGGTTTTCTGCCAGTTTAAGACAATGTTACCAATAATACCTGGAGCTGATGTTTGGTGTTTCTGCCAGGTTTTCTGCCAGTTTAAGACAATGTTACCAATAATACCTGGAGCTGATGTTTGGTGTTTCTGCCAGGTTTTCTGCCAGTTTTAGACAATGTTACCAATAATACCTGGAGCTGATGTTTGGGGTTTCTGCTAGGTTTTCTGCCAGTTTTAGACAATGTTACCAATAATACCTGGAGCTGATGTTTGGGGTTTCTGCCAGGTTTTCTGCCAACCTTTGGACCATGCTGGGTAAACCTGTATGGTGCCACCCGCTACTACCAGCTCCTGACATCACAGACTCACCTCAACGATGGATTAGGTCAAGGTGTATCATTCAGGGGAAGATTACTTGTAGCAATAAAGATGGAGATCCTGGAGAGCATGGAGAGTGGACCTGCTACAGTGGATGTGGAAAATGCCCTTCCTATCTCAGAGGTAAACTCTCCTGACTGGGACAATCACTTCCATCTGTGCAATGCAATTCATTAAGAATTATTCAAGACATAATCTGTGAAATATGAAAATATAGAACTGAAACTAAAAGGTGTTTATTATCTTAAAAAATGTTCAAATTTCAAACTATGGTGTCAATTGTTTGTTCCAGAATGCAGCAGGTAGACCGGAGGAGTATTTCCTGTATGGCTGCTTCCTTGAAGCATCCATGATAGAGAAGAAAGTTGGAGACAAACCTGTGCACTTTGAAATCAGTGTTGGTAAGTGAAGGCCTGTGTCATGAAGAAACCCTAGATTCTGTCAACTTTGCTATCACAGGATAGCTAAGTATTTCAGACATCATTTTACCCAAGTTGAATCAAGGAAAACCTGATACTGTATGAATGTAATTGAAGTAATGGCTCACACTTGACATTGGTAACGTATACCATAACTCGGAATGGTCAAATGGTCTTTGATTACCTTTTTTAAACCTACTCCCTGTATTCTCTTCCTGTATACAAAAGTCAAGTTGATAACATCATATTTAAACATTTTACAGGCAGCTTGGGTTAACTGGGGTAATAATGTCTTAGTGTTTTGAGCATGCAGAAGTATGTGGATACAGGTGCTTGTAAATGTCCATTATATTTTTCCTTATCCTGACTCATGCTTATTGCTTGTCTCCCTTTTCTTCCGAATGCTAGTGGAACACTTGAATCCCCCTTTTGAAGCTCCCTATCTCCCTTCCTAGGGTTTTTATTCAGAAAATTAGATTATTATCATTATTTCATACAAATTAAATGCTAAGTAAGGTGGCTTCCTTTCCTTTCCTTCAGGCAATGCAGGCAATGTGTTGGATGGTTACAACCCACCCAGCCGCAACAGTCGAAGCAGCAGTGACAGTGATGAGCCAGAGCAGGACAGTGACTCTGAAGATGAGTCTGGTTCTCGCATGGAGATACCTAAGTGGCAGAGTATGACCCCTGGAACCAAGCCTGTGACCCGGGACAAGTGCTACTACCACCTCCCCTACTATGAGGACAAGCCATGTGTGTACATCAAGGAACTGTTTGAGGACCACCGCAGGAGGATGTACAACTGCAACATCATAGAGAAAGTTGTTGAGAAACTGGTAGGTCAGAGAACCATTCGTTCAAGTCCTATCATAATTAACCTGTGTGGTTTCTACAATCAAATGTTATATTCCCACAAGATTCAGCAGTTGTCACGCTATGTATGTCAGTAGCAACAACTAAATGTAGTCTGCTTGAATGTATGAGTGTGTATTCAGTATGTCCAATGTAAAAGTATCAGCAGAAAATGTAGTCCAGGACTATCTAGTATCAGTAAATTGACTATATAAAGGGATATCCCTTCAAGATAACATCTCCATTTCTGGTGTCCCCCGCCGTGATGTTGCTGGAATATTGCTAAAAGCGGCGTAAAACCAAAGTCAGTCAGTCAGTCAGTCAAGATAACATCTAAAGTTTACTATTTCATGTCAATATCCAGACTAAGGATATTGAGCCTGTTCCAGTAAAGCAATGTTGCCAGAATCTAGGGTTTCTTCATGACACATTCCTCCACTGTGGCCTACTCCCTGAGGTATATGATGTCTGCCTGTACAGGAAGCTGGTATATCTGAGGTGCAGGACATGATCAAGTCTGAGACTCCCTTCCCTGAGCGGCGTCTGAGGGGTGTGTTTGAGGAGCTGGGACAGGGGTGCTCCAAGTTCGTGTCTCTGGTGAAAGGCACAGCAGGGGGCTCAGCAGCCAAGACGAAGCTGGACAAGGAGAGGCACAAGCTCTTAGTCAGAGAAATGGTATGGTCTCAAAGTCAATACTATCACATCTGTCATGGTTTAGACTTTGGCAGATTTTGAAATATAACGGGTCAACATATAGACATAGTTAGGCTCCTTGAACAAGTTATTTGAAATCACCCGAATAAAGTTTATCATCTTTTGTTTTGAAAATCATAAAAATTTAATCATTGGTTTCAAATGTTTTACTTGCTTCAACTATTATCACAGTGCTATTTTTACAGTATGATTTAGTATACAATGTATTGAGAATGATGAATGCATGTAATTTTTTTCAGGATCAGCAGTCTACTCTGGCCAGAACAATGAAGGCCACAGTGACCAAGACCAATATGAGGGAGAAGATGCGCAGTGCAAACCAGTATCTAAACAAACTGCGCAATCTCATGAATGAGGTATGTACTTCCCTGATGAGGATGTGTTTACCACTGTTTGTAACACATGGTAAAGGTAGGAAAGTCATTGCCTTGCCCAAAACTGATTGTCATTTGTCTTCCAGCCCCAGCATGCAGTGCCAGACATGTTTGTGTGGATGATTGCTGGACAGAAGCGTGTTGCATACCAGCGGGTGAAGTCTCGGGATATCATCTACTCAATCGTGGATGAGGAAAGGGGCAAGTTCTGTGGCAAGGTCCAGACTATGCTTCTCAGGGTCAGTTTACTTCTTCTATACACTCTTTTTGTTTGTTTGTTGTTTAACACTCACTCAGTAATATTCCAACTGGTCTGTAAATAATTTGAGTCTGGACTAGACAATCCAGTGGTCAACATCATCAGCATCTTTGTACACAATATGATGACAGGTGTCAACCAAGTCAGCGAGCCTGACCACCTGATCCTGTTAGTCACCTCTTATGACAAGCATGAGTTACTGAAGACCAATTCTAACCCAGATCTTCACGGGTTTCCTATGTACTGAATCTTTGTCTTGATATATTTACTGCACAGACAGTGATAGTTTTACATTGACCAGCTGCGAAACTGCTGTTGTGGCATTTAGCAGTGATCACTTGCTTACCCACATTCCTCATTGCATGCTGGTCATTGAATGTTGACAGCACCTCTATTGATTGTGTTCACAGCTGCCAGGGAAGAAGGCCGAGGGGCAGGCCGGCTGGAACATCCAGGCCAAACTGCAGCTGTACCTGTGGCTGGGGCTGTCCAAACACAAGAAGGACTATCTGAAGGGCCTTCCAGGGGGCTACGAGGAGACCAAGCCTCTCAAGCTGTCCTGCAAACCTCAGGGATATCCACCACCTTTTGTGCACTACAAAGGTACCACAATTTGAACAAAACAGGTTGAAAGTACCTACAATTACTACATGTATGGCTGCAAAACTATATTTAACAGCAAAAAATCATGTGACAGAAATGATCTCCAAAACAAATTTACTTTGTTACATGTTCAGTTTCTTTCAACTTTCCCCAAATAAAGACTTCTTTTCTTTGATGTTATTGTTAAAATGTGTGCTTTCCCATCCCAAACTATTTTGAATATTTTGCCCATTGCAGAAAAGCAGGTGTTCCAACTGCGTTGTCACATGTACCAAGCAAGACAGCTGATTGGATCAGATGCTTCTGGGTTGTCGGATCCTTTTGCCCGTATTGCCTTTGCTGACCAGAGTGCATGCACTCAGGTGATAGAGGAAACACTGAGCCCGACATGGGATGAAATGCTCATCATTAAGGAGGTGGAGGTGTATGGACTCATGGAGGAGATTGTGGATGACCCTCCCACCATCGTCGTGGAAATATTTGACCAGGACAAAGTGGTAAGCAGGGGGAGAATACTACAGGGGGTGATAGCTGAGACACAGGGGAATGTGTCCTAGGTAGCATCTGTGGCATAGAGTGGTGACTTAAGCAGGTTTGATGACACAGATAGTGTCTGTGGCATAGAGTGGTGACTTAAGCAGGATTGATGACACAGGTAGTGTCTGTGAAGGCACAGACACACATGGTAGTGTCTATAGAGGCCACAGGGAGATCTCTTAAAGGTTATATCTGTGAGGGAACACAGTAGTGTTTGTGGCAGGGAATGGAGGGTAAGGCAGGATGAATGACACAGGTCGATGTCTTTAGGGGAGACATGGTAGTGTCTGTAGAGGTTACCATATGTGTGAGATTTGTTAAAGGTTATATCTGTGAAGGAACACAGAAGTCTAAGGTAGTGTCTAGTGATAGATGTTGTTTAGGTAGTGTCCAGGGTTTGGAATGGTGGCTGAACCAGAAGGGATAACACCGGTAGATGTCTTGTAGGTATTGTCAGAGGGAACACAATAAGTATCTTAAAGGTGTCATCTGCAACTAGCACAGATAAATGTTTTCTGGAAAGACCTAAATAACCTACATAGGTACCATGTCTCCAAGGTATTCTCTGGTGGGCACAAAGAAAAAAGCATCCCTTCTGTGGCCAGACACATGTCTCATTCACTGCTACCTCATCATGATGTCCATTTTACTGATGCTTATATTTCAGTTCTGATGCTGATTATTAGGAGCCAAACATTGGTATAATCTCATGAGCACCAAGGGTGCTGTTGTTGACTCTACCCACATAGGCAGCCTATGATTATATCCAATCACACCATGTTGTCACACTACTTGACCTGGTTATGGGTGAAGTGCAAGAACTTCATGACATAATTAATTGTTTGAACTTTGTTTCAAGTCAGGCATAAAGCTCATGTGAATGGAAATGATGTCTGTTATATCTCACAGTGTTGAACCAATATGAAGTTTTAGGGGACCCATATCCTTTTGTTTTAAAGATGTTATTCCTGCAAATAAAGTTTTAGCTTTTTATTCTTTTAAATTCTTTTCCAATATTAATGTATTTAATAATAATGCAAGTGTTATGATGCATGATATGTAAGTGGAGTGTGACACAAGGTTAAATTCAAAATAACTTGTACAGTGGATATTTGCCAAATTCCAGAAAAATCAAGGAAGTAAAACAGTTTTGAAAGAAACTCCTCTAGAGTATTGGCGAGAAAATGGCGAGTCTCACAGTAGGCCATGTAGAGCCACAGTTCACGTGAACCAGGTTGGAGGATGTCAGGGTATCGTCAATGTAACACTGTTGTTCACATATAACACACGACCAATCACATAGCAATTGTAACAACCATTTCACACACAATATTGTAGCCCTGTGTCAATAAACATTGAACCTGGTGAATATCAGTACACCATGTGGTGGTACATCGGAAAAAAATGTATAAACACAGATTTGCAATGTCTCATTGTACACAAAATGAAATTTGTCAAAAATACATTTTTCAGAAAGTTACATATGTTGACATAAATACTGAGTTACCATTAAGACACCTTTAAAGCTTTGAGGTTCTAAATATTCTATAGATGTTTCAGTGTTTGAAATGTCTTTAAGTCGACGTTGTATACATACACTCTGTCACAAATGTCCATATGAAGAAAAACCATTAAAACTAGAGCTGTTGTGGTAAAGTATATTCCTGGATCAGCTGAAAGATGTTCACAGAGCCATGTATTGTCTTGCTGCTGCTGCCTCACACAACTCTTTTGCATGTGGACAACCGGGAATATCTGAGCATTGTGTGTATGTCCTTGGCTAACCTCAGCCCTCTGTGTAGGTTGTTGTACATGACATGCTTTTCCTGTGGTACTATGTGTTGTCAGTAACAGGAGACGAGAAATACATCATGTATATTCCAATGTTAGCTAGGCATTATATCTGTATAACCAGCATGAACCAAGTGGTAAGTATGAGTCTTTTCTAGCCAGGTCACTTTAAGAAAGATGGTTATCAAACATCTCACGGAAAGTGAGTAATACAAAACTTTAAAATCAGATGTTACTAATAGTTACTTCATTTACGGGCAATATTGCTTAAAGTGGTGTAAAACTTAAGTCACTCACTCATTTACAGCTACATTAGGGTAAAGGACTTTCCTGCTTCTTTCTTCATAGCTTGAATGGCTTTTTTAAACATGTGTCTACAAATGTAGCTGTTCCCAGAATTCCAGTGTTTTGAATGTATAGGATGGTTATTGTTTCAGGAATTATGAACACATAGGTGTAATTCTTGTGGCAAAATCATCTATATTTTATATATTTTCTAAGACTGAAATTCTACATTTTCAGGGGAAATCTGAGTTCATAGGCAGAGCCCTTTGCAAACCTGTAGTGAAGCTGAGCAATGAGAAGTATGATGGGCCCAAGTTCCCCCCTCGTCTTGAGTGGTGGGATGTGAGGCGTGGTCCAGATGAGGCTGGTGAGCTCCTGTCAACATTTGAACTCCTACAGGTAATAATAACAACGTGTGTCAAGCATGGTGCTGGTAGCTCACTTGCAGTGGTAGTTGTGGTGGTGGTCGTCATCATAAAGACGACTTGCTTCTTGTACAAGCATATACATGTTAACCAATCATACCTCAATAGACGTTTCTCTCTTAAAGTTATGTAAACTGAATCATATTAATTTATGACTTGAGAACATTTTGTTGTCCAGTACTTTCACTTCATTCTTAATGTTCAAGTTAAAAGAAACATAAAGTGATTATTATTTTATTAGTTTGTTGATCAATAATCATGTTTAATATGTTATTAATGTCTCAATTAAATAATATATCAATTTGTGAAGATGAATGTAACAATATTTGCATTAAGCTGTTATTTGCATAAGATCGGTGTTAGTGGAAGACCGGAATTGTGTAGTTGCCTGCGTTGTCTAGAGTGGCATCCCTGCTACCTCCACATGCAGTAGACTAGACAGCTGCTTTTGGTGGGTAGTCTCCCTTTAGAACAGTACTCTCTGGTTGCATACCCTGTGTTCATGTACTGGGTAAAATAATGTCTGTTCAAAATAATAAAATCGAGGAAAACCTTTACTATTCCATGATCAATTAATAATAGTAAATAATGAACACATGTTAAAACAACTTTTTTAAGGTGGAATATTTTACCCATTATGTAGTTCACAATTGTCACATGTTTCAAGTCCTACACAAGTGTGAGGCTGCAGCCAGCAGGTAGGACAGTGTGTCTAGGACATGAAACGTGTGATATCTTCCTGACCTGCATGTTGTATACATACTATAATACCCCATGTTACATCTGGTAGTTACAGATAGTCTACAGCTTGGCACATAGTCATTGCATTCAGAAAGACATAGTACAATGGTGTGGTAGAGTAGAGGAGTATATTTGCTGAATACTTTGTGTGTGTTGTGAGGTCGCCATTGGAACATAAGTCCGATCATCGTTGTTGTATCAATGGAGGCATCATCATTCTACTGAAGAATTCATACCAGAACTGTTTTCTGTAATTGTTTCATCAAATTCAGCTTCTATGACTAAGGCCCTGGTAAAGGTTGACTTGCGACGTAATGTCTCCTCTGTGAATGTCTCGTGTGGTATATTATATAAAGCACACTACAAGACCATGTGACATTGTTGGACACTACTGTTTCAATACTGTGCGTATAGATATGATCTGTCTCTTGATTCCAGAAAAATAGACAATATTAAACAATGGATGGACACATTGTCATAACTACTGTTATTTCACAGGTCTTAGCATAGTTGCTACTTAGTTTAGGGATTTTGTCATCATGAGGAAAGAACTATGATTATTATTCAATCATGCAACAGTCTAGTGTATATTTAGTGAGCTGCTGCAGTACCTACATTGTACAGGTTGCCCTTTCTCAAAAGGTCTTTACAAAATTTGATCAGTAGATATTTAACTGAGGTATGAGAGTTCAGCATCTCATCCGTACCCTGTGTACCGCTCCAAGTCACATGACCCATGAAACCCTTTATATCAACCATGAAATGTTTTTAAAATAAAGGATGTTATTCTTGTAATCTTTCCTTTAGATAAAACACAAGGCCAAAGGCAATTCAAGTGTATGTATATAGCCTAACCTCCCACTTAATATCAGTTTGCCACACAGGAACAGTAAATGCTAGTCAGGTTCCAACCACGCCCAGCCCAGTTTGTGTTCCATTTCATTTACATAGAAAGCATGTCACTTTCCTTCACCCACAGAAATGGTCTAGGTCATTGGTGTACATAATTTGGTTACAATTGTGTGGTTAAGTGAATTTATTTTGTCACATTATTCACCAGCTGGCCAGCAGTAATGTAGATAACTGTGATAGTTCCTGTTAGTACACCCGCTTCATGAAGCACCATGCTGGTCATTCAGACAGAAGATGCTCACGACACGTCTTTGTTTCAGTTATACGGAAATAAATGTATGAGATTATTCTTGTTTCTCATAAAATGAAGAAAACCTTAGTGATTTGGGTAGTTCATGAAAATATGTTACATAGTTACTTAAATAGATTGACTGAGTTTTGTTTTTACTTTAAAAGAAATGACAAAACCCTTTGCACAAGAGATTACTGCTAAAAGCAGAGTCGATTGTACATTCTGACTAGATTATGAGGATGTGTTTGTTTCATGCCACCTTCATCTGTTAAAAGAAGTAAATATATTTTAATACTTTTTTACACCACACTGCTGAAACCCAGGCAGTCTGATTACATATACCTACACCATTGTGTCAGGAGATACACACTACTGAAACCCAGGCGGTCTGATTACATATACGTACACCATTGTGTCAGGAGATACACACTGCTGAAACCCAGGCAGTCTGATTACATATACGTACACCATTGTGTCAGGAGATACACGCTGCTGAAACCAAGGCAGTCTGATTACATATACCTACACCATTGTGTCAGGAGATACACACTGCTGAAACCCAGGCAGTCTGATTACATATACCTACACCATTGTGTCAGGAGATACACACTGCTGAAACCCAGGCAGTTAGATTACATATACCTACACCATTGTGTCAGGAGATACACACTGCTGAAACCCAGGCGGTCTGATTACATATACCTACACCATTGTGTCAGGAGATACACACTGCTGAAACCCAGGCAGTTAGATTACATATACCTACACCATTGTGTCAGGAGATACACACTGCTGAAACCCAGGCAGTCTGATTACATATACCTACACCATTGTGTCAGGAGATACACACTGCTGAAACCCAGGCAGTCTGATTACATATACCTACACCATTGTGTCAGGAGATACACACTGCTGAAACCCAGGCAGTCTGATTACATATACGCACACCATTGTGTCAGGAGATACACACTGCTGAAACCCAGGCAGTCTGATTACATATACCTGCACCATTGTGTCAGGAGACCAAACCCAGGCAGTCTGATTGCATATACCCACACATTGTGTCAGGGGATGTCAGGAGATACACACTGCTGAAACCCAGGCAGTCTGATTACATATACCTACACCATTGTGTCAGGAGATACACACTGCTGAAACCCAGGCAGTCAGATTACATATACCTACACCATTGTGTCAGGAGATACACACTGCTGAAACCCAGGCAGTCAGATTACATATACGTACACCATTGTGTCAGGAGATAAACACTGCTGAAACCCAGGCAGTCTGATTACATATACGTACACCATTGTGTCAGGAGATACACACTGCTGAAACCCAGGCAGTCTGATTACATATACCTACACCATTGTGTCAGGAGATACACACTGCTGAAACCCAGGCAGTCTGATTACATATACCTACACCATTGTGTCAGGAGATACACACTGCTGAAACCCAGGCAGTCTGATTACATATACCTCACCATTGTGTCAGGACATATGAAACCCAGGCAGTCTGATTACATATACCTACACCATTGTGTCAGGAGATACACACTGCTGAAACCCAGGCAGTCTGATTACATATACCTACACCATTGTGTCAGGAGATACACACTGCTGAAACCCAGGCAGTCTGATTACATATACGTACACCATTGTGTCAGGAGATACACACTGCTGAAACCCAGGCAGTCTGATTACATATACCTACACCATTGTGTCAGGAGATACACACTGCTGAAACCCAGGCAGTCTGATTACATATACCTACACCATTGTGTCAGGAGATACACACTGCTGAAACCCAGGCAGTCTGATTACATATACGTACACCATTGTGTCAGGAGATACACACTGCTGAAACCCAGGCAGTCTGATTACATATACCTACACCATTGTGTCAGGAGATACACACTGCTGAAACCCAGGCAGTCTGATTACATATACCTACACCATTGTGTCAGGAGATACACACTGCTGAAACCCAGGCAGTCTGATTACATATACCTACACCATTGTGTCAGGAGATACACACTGCTGAAACCCAGGCGGTCTGATTACATATACCTACACCATTGTGTCAGGACATATGAAACCCAGGCAGTCTGGTTACATATACGTACACCATTGTGTCAGGAGATACACACTGCTGAAACCCAGGCAGTCTGATTACATATACCTACACCATTGTGTCAGGAGATACACACTGCTGAAACCCAGGTAGTCTGATTACATATACGTACACCATTGTGTCAGGAGATACACACTGCTGAAACCCAGGCAGTCTGATTACATATACCTACACCATTGTGTCAGGAGATACACACTGCTGAAACCCAGGTAGTCTGATTACATATACCTACACCATTGTGTCAGGAGATACACACTGCTGAAACCCAGGCAGTCTGATTACATATACCTACACCATTGTGTCAGGAGATATGAAACCCAGGCAGTCTGGTTACATATACCTACACCATTGTGTCAGGACATATGAAACCCAGGCAGTCTGATTACATATACCTACACCATTGTGTAATGAGATACACACTGCCAGTACAACACAAACAATGATTTAAAGACAAAGCCACATTCAGTGATTCCTGCTTACAATAGAAGTATATGCATGAACTAAACAATTGCAGCATCATATTTGGAATAAAATATCATGGATCTTGGGAAATTATTTATTGAGGTGTCACACAGTAAAATACACAATCAGCAGGCATTCCTAAAACATTCCCACAAAACTGATGAAGACACTAATTTCACATTGTGTCCTCCAAGGGCAATATTCCTGAAGTGTTCTATAACTTACAATTTATGTTCAACATTTTCACTTGCTAAAATTTAGTCAACTGCAAAGTTTTTGTGTTGTCTCACACAATTAACAACAACTGACATATAAGTTTGTATACGTGATAGATAGAGTAGGCATGTAAACCAGCTGTGTGGAAGGCCTACGTACAGAGTATACAGGTAGGATGTATGCTGTTGTGTCCATGTCTAACCCGTGTGTGTATCCCTCCCTCTGTTTAGTACCCATTTGATGAGCGTGACCTACGGAGTGCCTATCGTACCCCGCTATATGCCAGGAAGACAGTAAGGGTATACATGCAGATCACTGTCCAACATTCAAACTAGATAACATTGCAAGCCATACACTCAAAATAGGCAGGCAAATCTCAACAATCTAGCATATTATTTCAGCATTAGATTCATTCTATTTGATTATTTCATTCAGTGCAATTCAGCAATTCAAATGAGCACCACAACTGAATTATATTTTTTCATGAGGTATTATTTTCCCTTGCATTTATGTCAAAAGCTTTCTATGAAAATGTATTTTTATATAACTGATATATTTATATGACTTCCCATCATGTTTAATTGAATATCTAATTAACATGATACACTATACTGTTCTTTCTGTGGCTGGATTATAATCTGACAGTTGGTTTTCCTAAACATGTGTATATGAAGTACACTGAGGAAATGGTTCTCAGGGGGAGGTCTGCAATGTTGTCTGTTTGAAATAGGCTTGTTTATGTGCAATCTCCCACAGTTTGATTTCAGCAGCTTTTAGTCTTCTGTTTGTATCTGCATCATGGTATCACATCTAGAACAAAACCATTCCTTCTCAAGTGTGTAGTACATCCATGTTCTCTTTCAGCCACTGATAGCTCATGTGTGAAAGTACATCATAACAAAACGTCATGTCATAGATAACAGAATTTCTGTACAAATGTGTGTAAAATGGTTGCAGTTTAAAATCTTAAAAGTAATGCACATAAAAATTGATTGATTGTTCCTAACAAATATTAGTTGTTTTTGTTTCAAACTTCATTCTAATTAGTAAATGTTTTCTCAAATGGTAGCATGAGTTGTAAGATATCATTCTGGCAAGAACTCAAAATATTTCTTCTTTTTTTAATAGCACGAAATTAGATGTGAAGTTAATAATGCAACATATTTATAATTTGCAACAGGGTTAATGCTCTGGCACATAGTATTCAGTTTGAGAACATATAATGTAATGATTATAAACAAACACTGGGTAAGTATATTAATGTCTGTGATGCCCAAAAGGCTTTTCTATCATGTCATCAACTGTAAACCTTTTCCTGGGTTCCACAATGCACAGGCAATGAATTGTTGTAGTTAACACAACACATTAGTTTTGTTGTCAGACTATTATGTTATAAATATTTTAATCACATTCAAGCTTTTCTTATAAATTACTTTTCATAACTGAACTAGCCAGCGTGAACATTTTAGCAAGACTGTTTTTACATAGAAAACAATTTGCTTGTAAAAACTAGTACTGAGCACATCTTAATTGTAGTAATATCACAGTTTTTATTTGTCCAATCTCACTGTTTTTTACTTAAGTAATGCAGATGTCAGCTGTATGAAGAGTATGACAGAAAGGGCCATTAAATGTCAAGTGTCTAACAACAATAACATCATGTTCAGACAGATACTGGTGTCTTTTACAACCAAGATCAGTTTTGTCAGTCAAGTTCAGAAGTAACAATTGTCATCATTAAAATAAAATTGTTGATAAAATTAAGCATTTAGGAAGAAGAGTGAGTGCCAAATTCACATGATGAGCGGATGTTTTCAGGCACTTGTTCTTACTTTCAGTTGGCACCATTTGGTGACAGGACTGGCCAAGACCTTCCCCCAATGGAACTACCCAATCAGGACAAAGACAGAGGCCCAATAATGCCAGTTCCAAAAGGCATTCGACCAATCCTAAGCAAGCACAGAGTAGAGGTCAGTCCTACTACAACCCATGCTAGTTGTAACAAGCAGTTTATCGAAACACTGAAACTATTCAATCTAGCTTTTGTTACATCTGACATACCCAGAAGAAAGGATGTGTCTGTTCCTGTACAGGTTCTGTTCTGGGGAGTGAGGGACCTGAAGCTTGTGTTGCTGTGTCAGTTCTATATCAAGATGTGTCTGTTCCTGTACAGGCTCTGTTCTGGGGAGTGAGGGACCTGAAGCTTGTGTTGCTGTGTCAGTTCTATATCAAGATGTGTCTGTTCCTGTACAGGTTCTGTTCTGGGGAGTGAGGGACCTGAAGCTTGTGTCGCTGTGTCAGTTCTATATCAAGATGTGTCTGTTCCTGTACAGGCTCTGTTCTGGGGAGTGAGGGACCTGAAGCTTGTGTCACTGTGTCAGTTCTATATCAGGATGTGTCTGTTCCTGTACAGGTTCTGTTCTGGGGAGTGAGGGACCTGAAGCTTGTGTCGCTGTGTCAGTTCTATATCAAGATGTGTCTGTTCCTGTACAGGTTCTGTTCTGGGGAGTGAGGGACCTGAAGCTTGTGTCGCTGTGTCAGTTCTATATCAAGATGTGTCTGTTTCTGTACAGGTTCTGTTCTGGGGAGTGAGGGACCTGAAGCTTGTGTCACTGTGTCAGTTCTATATCAAGATGTGAACACCCTGTTCCTGTACAGGTTCTGTTCTGGGGAATGAGGGACCTGAAGCTTGTGTCGCTGTGTCAGTTCTATATCAAGATGTGTCTGTTCCTGTACAGGTTCTGTTCTGGGGAGTAAGGGACCTGAAGCTTGTGTCGCTGTGTCAGTTCTATATCAAGCTGTGTCTGTTCCTGTACAGATTCTGTTCTGGGGAGTAAGCTTAAGGGCCCTGAAGCTTGTGTCACTGTGTCAGTTCTATATCAAGATGTGTCTCTTTCTGTACAGATTCTGTTCTGGGGAGTGAGGGACCTGAAGCGAGTGCAGCTGCAGACCGTGGATCATCCCCGAATTGATGTGGAATGTGCAGGCCATGTCCTCCAGTCATCTATAATCCTCAATACCAAGAAAAACCCAAACTTCAACATTCCAGTGAAATACTTTGATGTGGTGAGCCACCCACCATTATAACATTTGCAGTTTCTGGGTGGGGTGAGGTGGGGTGTTCTTTTGTCATATAAGCCCAATAAAAGATTTCAACTTTTCAAAAGGATTACTTAACTCTGGATGTCATGTAGTGATTTCATTATGAGATTTACACACAAAAAATTGTTTCAGGAACTGCCAGAGAATGAGATGTACTGTCCCCCTATTTCGATCCGGTGTGTTGACTGTCGAAGTTTTGGTCGCTTTGTGCTTGTGGGCACACACGTCATCAGCAATATCCACAAATTTATGTTTGTGCCCACCACCAAGAAGGCCAAGAATGTTCTCCAGAAGCTCTTCCCAGGTGAGTTTTGCTTCCGGTCTGTCTTGTGAGTATCCTACTGACACAACATCCTCACCAGAATACAAGGTAAACAATGTAGGCATCATAGGCACAGCATTCCAAGCTTCCAATAGTCATAAAGAAACTGCTGCCACAGCTATTGTCGTGTTCTGTAACATAGATATGTGTTTCACTATATCACCAAGTGCACATCCACGGTTTCACCATCAAACTCTCACACATTGTGTTCACGTACACATCATACTGTATCCATGTGTTTAGAAGCACATAGAAATAGAAGTAGGTCATGTGTAGGAATGTGATGTTTGAAGGTTGCTTATGTAAGTTACTTTGCAGGATCACTGGATGGAACCCCTGAGTGAAGTAATCCCACCACCTAAAGGTTCTCCATTTGACCCATTAGAACTGTGGTAGATACCCTGCGGTCTGCCATGGTATTTAGCAATGCCAGTCAGTGATGCTGCAGTTTGAATGTTGTGTTTGTACAATGTGTTAGAGAATATTCCAGAACACTGGTGGACGTTCCATGTCCATTGGGAATGCCATTGTTCATCTCAGAAAAGTTGATTTGATTAACTTTATGTATACCTATAGTTTACAGACTAGTATGCACCACACACCATACTTGTTTCATGGAAATATTTAGGTTAAATGCCCATCTGGCTTTAATAAGAAGATTTTGCATTTTGTGTTATGAAGGCAACCATAGTCATTTGGGGTTTACTTGAGATTTTGTTGACTTTTCCTAATTTGTTTTGTAAGTGATAAAATATAGAGGGCAAGTAAGTTTCAGCAAACTGATGTTAAAACATACGAACAGTACGACATGTAGACATTCAGTCAGGTCAGATCTGTAAGCCACACTCACCACAGAATTGATAGCTTGTATGTACTAAAGATCATTGCAATAAGATAACACATGATTATGTATTTTTCATAATCATATGACTTACATGTACATCTATAGGTGAATCTGCCCAAGACCTTGTTCAGCTGCAAAGCAGTAAGTGGAAGTCATTTTCATCTGGTAAATGATCATTTCGTATAAAAATATGTCAACTGTTTCATCTGCATGGAACCCTTTGAAGTCAATATTATGTCAAATGTAAGATATGCTGAGACATCCTACCTGTTTCTTTGTTAGTACTATTGATCATTTAACTGATTTTTCATCTCAGAAAAGATAATTCAACTTTAACTATAGACGAGATGAATTTTATTCTGACAGATTATGGGCAGTGATTTAGCAAAAGACTTCATATAATCAGAATAAAGAAATGCTGGTCAAATCTGCCCTTTATATTTTCAAAATGATTAATGCTTAAGATATAATTCCATTTACATATTTATATCAACAATGCATCTTTTAGCGCCGTAAACAATTTCTTAGAAGTTTTGTTAATGACAATTCAAATCTATGCTACTATTCTCAACAAGCCCCTCCTCCTGTGGTACATGAAGCCCCACCCACTGCCGCTCCAGGCCAACCCACCATCTTGCTTGATGTCAAAATGCTTGATGTGCCCCTCAGTAAGTTACATAGGACGGAAATTTGTCTCTTGCTGAGTATTGTTCATATCCAGGAAATAACAGACCTCACAGTTTATAATGGGAAACAAATATCTATTTCTGTAGTATAATCGGACATCCCAAATATTGCAACTTTGTTGATTTTTCTAAATAATAATATAACATACACAAATTCTGTTATGGCCTTGTTGTTGTAATCATTATTCTCTGATACTCATAGTAGTGTAATGCCTATGTTCTTTTCTAGTTGAAGTTAAAATTCCTGATCAAAATACTTCTGGTTTTTAGATCAAACTAAGACAGAAACTCCAAGTAAGTTCAAAGATTTATCTTGCATTGAGGCTTTATATAATTTGATCAATATGTATTCATACTATGGTGGATTAACTAGCTATGTATATATATATATATATATACATTACTGCCTACTAATGCTTGAGCTAGACGGCCTCCTTGCATGGGTAACTTTACAGGATTGTATTGAGTTCTTTCTTTGGGTTTTCTCCTTCTGATTTCATGGGGTCTTTTTTTGCTTTGGGTTTCTTATTATTTAACCAGTACATACTGAATATAGTAATGATATGAAAGTGATTATAAATGTTGATGCCAGATCCAAAACATAATCTGTGAAGTATGTGTAATGACACATGACATATTTGAAGTATATTCATAGCTGAAGTACACAGCCAAGTACAACACATGTTTTGATATGTTATGCATTTTCCCTATCTAGATGAAACATCTTGTGTTGAGACAGAGGACTCAAGTAAGTCAGCTGATGACACATTGCCATGTCACTGTTGCCATGTTAGCTTCATGTACAAATGGGAATGTTCACCAGACCAAGAGTTTGCTTCAACAAACACCATGCAGCATTTCAATATTTTCACATTTCCACAATATGTCTATGACTATATATGCCTGGATTCTTCTCAATCTTTTATTATGGTTGTTTAAAAACTAACTCGGTCTTGCCCCTTTCAGATGTTACACAATACCACAGCATTCAGACTAATACAGACAGCTCACACTTTATCTGACTTGTGTGTCTTGTCCAACCTTTGACTTACAGTTTCCCCTGCGTAGCCTCCTGGGAAGCATGTGAGGTGCATGACTGCTGGGACGGGTGGTTCTCCATCTCTGTATGGCACCCTCATCAGGGGTAATGTTGTTTCTACCTTGTGTTTCAGGCAGTGCCAGTTTTGGTGATATTACACACAAAATTATCCAGAATATAATTTCTGGTTATAAGATTCAATTCTTCATGTCTGTGTTGCTGCTCCAGACAACCTGTTACTGAGGCAGTGCTGATAGTGATATGTCAGATAGTGGAGAATGATATTAATTGTTGAATGAAGAATGGAATATTTGTCAGTAATAGATGTATCATTTGCTCCTAGATCAAACCACTCTGGATATCCCGAGTAAGTGGAATGGCTTGACCCTTTTGTGTATGACCAGGGAGTGTCCGTCCGTCAGTCATTGTAGCTGCTTCCTTCATTATGTTATGTTCCTAAAGTGATTCACCTAGATTGTAGAGGAAGGTTGGCACATGGCAGATAGTGTGTCACTGACCAGGGGATGTTCTCATGCCAATAATCTGCTTACTGCTAACACGTCACGTGTGGATACCGTAGTGCATGAAACCAGGGCACAATGTACAACACAGGACCTACCCTGTACAGTGCTAATTACATGTAACCTAACTTAGTTATCCTTGCCAGTCAACTTGTTTAAAGGTTGATGAAGAGAAACTGTTTTAGCTTGTATTAGTTATGAATCACTTTAGTGTGTTGATTTATTTGAGAAGATGTGTTCATGGTTTTTAAGTTATCTCATGTAATGTCATGGTGTAGAACTATTAGCTTAAGGATGATCTAGTCTTCTAAGTATCTGTTAATGGAAGAAATGTAACAGTTAACTCTAAATATGATTCTTGAAAGCAGCACCATCTACTGTCACAAACTACAATGTATGATCTGTTGACATAGATTTTCATGAATACTGGTTTGGATCTGTCTTTTGCTAGTCAAGATATTAGATCATCTGTCTGTGTTCAAAAGTACCTTGGACTCTTATATGATATAGCTGAAATGCCAGAACACTTCCCCTCCACTTTATTTCTTACCTTCTCTATAGATCTTGCATGTCGTAGGGACATACCTTGATGAGATGATATCATCTTTGCTAAATGGACTGGGCATAGATGAAGTTGGAGGTTTCAGTAATGCTTACATGTATACACCCTCAGTACTATGTGTGACTTGCTCGGGTTAACTTGTTAATTGAATATGTGGTGCATCACGGCACATCAGAATTAAGTGCAATATGGGGTAAGCTATCTAAGTTGAAAGCAGGAATAGACATGATAGCTTCAAACTGAACAACATTGTCATCACTGAGTCATACATCAGTTCCAATATGTCCTACTGTCATGTAGCCTTCTCATTATATGCCACTATAAGCAAGTCATGAGCATGTTTTGTATTCATTTCAAGCATGTTTCTACTAGCATGTGGTATGTGAATACAGTTTTCTTCTTTTCTCTTGTTGGCTGGTTATTATGTGTAGAGATACTACTTTGAATGACACTAGTGGTAGTGTTTAGATTTATGATATTGATTTGTTATCACTTTATTGGATGACAGAATTATATTTCACTAAAATTCATTATTATTCAGAGATTTCTAGGTGCAATGAGATTTCATATGTTAAATTCTGACTGAATGTCATTTGCTTGCCCTGTTGACTGTTACTCAGGCCCTGAAAGAATAATAAGGAAATGATGCCATACAGACTGCTGGTTCAAAAGATTAAATGGAAGATGCTGAAAAACAATTGATCTGTTCCAATCTTTATGATTACACCATGAAAATACTGCCTGGAACAAGTCTATTTTATAGCTGGTCTTTTTACACATTCCTTATGTTTTCTACATCAAATGATCATAATATCACAGTGAGAAGATTGAATATATCAGTGTACATTTGGTAAAGTGTCTTAAAGTCACAATATTATTTTGGGCAAATAGAATTAATCAGGGGACAAAGTACCGTCAAAAGCATGGTTTAAGACCATGTGTTCAAGATATATTTCAGTGTGTCCAAATAAAACAGTTATATGTCAAAATCTTAAACGTTTTTCGATTTTTAATTTAAAGAATCTTAGAAATCTGCATCTGATCAGGCACCTTCAGCACATAAGTCTGGTTTTGTTTAGGTAGGTTTATGTTCTTTAATCTGCATATGAATGCATATCATCAAATATGCAAGATACATTTTTTCCTTTTGATCATAGTCAAGCATTCTTGTTTGTTCATGCTTTAGGATTTAATTTACTAATAATTCCATACACTGGTAGTAAAATTAAAACATTTGCTTTTCATTTTCTCACATTCTTGGAATGGTTCAGTTAACATTTTGATAACTGCTTGTGCTTGCACTTCTAGCATGTTAAATATGTTCTGAACTTACCATCACTTTGCTTATTACTAACCAGCAATTGGTCCATGGATGGCATGGTAATGTAAGCACACAGATGGGAATAAAGATGACAGTGTGACTACCAAAGTAGAAATGTGACATATTTGTTTATTTTGAATTTACTTTTCTTCTATAGCAATTGCAGTGCCCAAGGCGATTGTGACTAAGATGCAATATAGTACACATAGAGGAGTAGAGGTACCCAGTAAAGACCTTGCATGATAAAAGTATCCTCTCAGGAGGCAGCTGTAGCACATGGTAGATGTTGTAGACAGGAGGGGAATGTGTATATCATGACAAGTAATGTCATTGAGAACCTCTTGTAGCGATGAGCAGACATTGTTTGCAGCAACACCTTTCAAGTGATAGTCACAGAATATGCTTGGGTATGCTTAGGATCATGTTTGTCCATATTCATGTATATTGGTAGTCTTCATACATGTTCAGCAACACTATTTGCAATCTGGATTGACAAATGAGGACTTTCATCATTTTTCATTTGCAAAAAAACATTTGTCATGTTTCTTCTCTTTTTCTCACTATATTAAATCAGACAAATGTGTGATGGTCTGCTTCAGTCACAGATTGCAAGTGTTGTCTGTATCGGCAGGTAAGGGAATTGATGCCACCAAGGTCATCAGGACAGGGCAGGTTTCTGTGAAGGCAAATGATGTCGCCATCACCATCAACGAATCTCAGCCTCTTATAAAGAAGGAACAGCTTATCACGATCAACACAGTGAGTACACATTCTGTTGTAGATTCATTATAGAATTAGATGACACATCACTCCTTATTTTCGAAGATGTTACTGTGCATTGTAATGGATTGCCATTGGTTGGAACGATTGCTGTTTCATTTGTTCACTTGTGTCAGGTAGATATGTAAATGGGAGTATACTTCTCAGGGAGATGCGCCAAGTGCCAAGGACATCAAGACAGCTGAAAACAGGAAAAAGAAGCGCCAGTCCATTGACGACGATGAGCCAGATATGGAGAGCCTCGATTGGTGGAGCAAGTATTTCGCCTCGGTGGAAACCATGATACGAGTATGTTGATGTTTGTCTTGTGAACCATGTTGTCTGTCTTTAGTCATGACTCATCTCTCCCAGGCTATGTGCAATCCGTTTGTGGATTATAGGAGAAGCCTATGATTTTTAAAACTTGTAAACTTTGGACTGGAGTGCAGCCTGGTAGAGACTGAGTTTGTGTGTGTGTGTGTGTGTGTGTGTGTGTGTGTGTGTCTGGTTGTTGTTGACTCATTGTCACACCCAGAGTCACACACAGCCCACAGCATCACAGTCCACAGTCTGGTATAATCCACAGTACGTATAGTGAGTGTAGTGATGGTAGTGTTTACTGGACCAAAAGTATTCAAATTGGCATGAACCTAAACCAAACCTCTGCTTTTGGTATCGTCACACTTGAACCCTAAAATGTAAATATCCAAACTTGATTTCAGTATTCTCCAAGTCACTTTCTGTCAGTATAGTAGTTCACAGTCCCCTGCACCTGTTTAGTTGTCAACAAGTCCTAGAGCACTGGCATGTACAACAGGGCATGGCCATGGTATGTACACTGATGCTTCAGTCCTCCTCAGTTACACTGGCCAAGTTTAGTCAACGGAAGTCCTCAGTATGACTAAAGTTTAATGTATTACAAAGTATTTATGGAGTCAAACTTTGATGAAAACAGCTTTCAATATCATTGCTGTGATTGAAGTCTGGAATCAATCAACTAGAGTCAGCCTCAGCATTGTTATACATGTATGTGAGTATTCTACACAATATGGCATCTCAGAACACAGTTTTACAGCCTGTAGCCCCCACCCCAATCAGTTCTAATATCAAATTAAAGAACAAAAGACTTATCACTATATCTGTGTTTGTGTGTTTATTGTTCCATGGTCAAAATAGAGTACCCAGATATATTGTGTTAATTTCTATGTTTAAGAAATGTTGATGTAAAACAAAAATTTCTTTTCATGATCAATGTGAAACCTGGCCAGAACTGCCCTTAACGTGTATCTCCAGCCACATACTTTATACAGGATGTGCCAGTTAGATGTTCACCACTGTAACTAGACTGTGTTGTGTTATGTACACATGTAGCCTGTCATGTCAGTATGTGCCCATTGTATTGTGTTGCTTCACGTAGTTTACCTTATGTGTTTGTGCAGGCCCCAAGAAAAGATTCATGGTGTGAGGTAAAACCATTTGGTTGCTTGCATTCTGCAAATGCCCAGTGCTTTTCATTCCTTCTTCAGTTTTATACAGTATATTGCAACGGTTCACTAAATAACAGTTCCTTCTATTGAGCAGTCCCTCTTCTTTAAAGTATCTTATAACAGATAAGTTCCAGTACGGTTTCCTATCCACATTGTGGACCAGGCCGATCCATGTGTTCTGTCCATGCAGCTTCCTGGTATACAGAAAATCTCGTCTTCACTGATTATGAACCATTGCAACTTGCTACACATGAGCTTACCCCTATTTCTCTTTTTAAAGTAGATCTGGATGCATTTTGGTGTATTTGATATGTGGCAGTTGTTTTGATGTGACAACAATATCATGAAGATGCAGCCATGTGTTTGCTTGATCTGTGGATGATACAATGAGTGATCATGTTTTAGAATGAGGTTGAGGGGATCCTATTTTATCCATTTTCACTGATTTCTATTATCCAAAATTATTTTGACTGCACTTTGTTGTTTCCTGCTAATGGTTGGGAGTGTTTCATTTGAGACACTTGACTGTGTATTCTTGAGTCATCATGTGTATCACCTCTTAAGTCAACAGTGTTACTCTGCTTCGGCAGCAGAACATGGGGGAAAGTGACTAGAAAAGTTCATACAGAATAGCTTTCATCTTACAGAAACTTTGTACCTCAAAGCTGGAGTGAATGAGAAAGATTTTATGCCATTTTAGTAATATTCACATATGTTGGGAATCATACCTGGGCCTTCATTGTCACAAACAAACACTTGAACCACTAGGCTACCCCACCATTCCTATCAAAGCCTTGGAAAGACTGGAGACCTTAAAGGGGGTGATTTGATATTGAAGAATCTAACAATCTATTTTTAAAAATTAGCATATTGTAAATAGTTACAATAAATCAGATATTGTTTCAGATGATACAGCAGTATATCTTAAAGTTTTGTCTTCATAGATAGACTATATTGTCTGTATTTACATGACAACACTCACCTGGGTGCTGGTGATTCAGGTGTGGACTAGGTTGTCATTAACTCATTAATTAGGTTAGTCAGTCACTTTACAATGATTGACTAGGTAAAGAGGAAAAATATTATCCAACATGAAATCTACAATTTTATTTTAGCTATTACACAATTGATCCTCTTTTTCAAAAACATGTCAGTCAAGAATGAAGAAGCTGCGTTACAAACCTACACTTTCAAAACTCCAGATGAGTGTGATGGCAGGTACATATAAGGCTGTGAACTAGAGTATATTCACATAGGTACATATACAGCATTGTGGACTGGAGTATATTCACATAGGTACATATACAGCATTGTGGACTGGAGTATATTCACATAGGTACATATACAGCATTGTGGACTGGAGTATATTCACATAGGTACATATACAGCATTGTGGACTAGAGTATATTCACATAGGTACATATAATGCTGTGAACTAGAGTATATTCACATAGGTACATATACAGCATTGTGGACTGGAGTATATTCACATAGGTACATATACAGCATTGTGAACTAGAGTATATTCACATAGGTACATATACACATTGTAAACTAGGTACATATACAGCATTGTAAACTAGAGTATATTCACATAGGTAAGAGTATATTCACATAGGTACATATAACAGCTGTGAACTAGAGTATATTCACATAGGTACATATACAGCATTGTGGACTGGAGTATATTCACATAGGTACATATACAGCATTGTGAACTAGAGTATATTCACATAGGTACATATACAGCATTGTGAACTAGAGTATATTCACATAGGTACATATAACGCTGTGAACTAGAGTATATTCACATAGGTACATATACAGCATTGTGAACTAGACTAGGAGTATATTGTGAACTACACATAGGTACATATACAGCATTGTGAACTAGAGTACTGGATATATTCACATAGGTACACATTGTGAACTAGAGTATATTCACATAGGTACATATACAGCATTGTGAACTAGAGTATATTCACATAGGTACATATAACGCTGTGAACTAGAGTATATTCACATAGGTACATATACAGCATTGTGAACTAGAGTATATTCACATAGGTACATATAACGCTGTGAACTAGAGTATATTCAAATAGGTACATATACAGCATTGTGAACTAGAGTATATTCACATAGGTACATATAACGCTGTGAACTAGAGTATATTCACATAGGTACATATACAGCATTGTGAACTAAAGGATATTCAGAAGGGGAACAACAGAGTGTTGTGAACTAAAGGATATTCAGAAGGGGAATAATACAGTTAGTAATCTGTGACATGTTTTAAAGGGAAATGATACTGCGCAACTATTTCTCTCAAGGATTAACACAGTGGAAGACATATGCATTATATACATTATATGCATTAAATAGATCATAAAACCTTTTCAGAAATCTTTTGTTGTACATATTCACATTTTGCAGTCTCTGCAAAAGTGGAGACTAGATAATATTTAAGAAATACAGTTCACACAGAAATAAAGCAGGAGGACACTTGTATCCAAGTGCTCTAACGTAATAATAGTTCAGGGCGAAAGTGTGCTTTATTACACTATTCATGGTGGTAGAGTGAACTGTATTTCTTTTCTAAGATGCCAAATTTAATACTTACCGACGATAAATCAAGGCAGACAACAAATAGAAAAACAATGGGGTCGGTGACCTAAATTGACAATCCTCACTCAGGGCAAACTGACGTGCTGTTCTATTGACATGTCTGCACTCCTACATTAAGGCACACCCCTACATTGTGAGTCGAACTGAGACATTATATCCATCAAAAAACATAAATGTAATGTTTCCACCACGCCGAGAGAAGCAACTGCAAAGCAAGAAACGGGGTGCTATGGAGTAGTTTACAGTAGGAGCCTGTATGAGACGATGACAACTGACATGCATCGTGACGTTGGTTAACAAGGGTACGTTTGATAATGAGGGGCAGACAAGAATTGCGTGGTGACGTCATGTAAAAAGTGTCGCCTGATAAAGTACTTTCGGCGCATTTGATCTTTTAACAAAGCATCGTAGAATTTTTATAAATAATACCAGCAATTTTTCACGAAGTATTAGTCTCAGATTCACTTTTCCTTTGCTATTTTTTCTATTTGATGTTTAATTTGTAAATTCTGGGCACTTATAACAGTGAAACAGGTAATCAGGTGAGATACAGAGCTATGTAGTAATGGTACTTTTATAGATTTCCACCCAACTTATTTTGCACAGCATGAATTATGCTTCTGATAACACTGTTTGGGTTTTTGCAAGTATGTCCAGCATATTCTCTTTCATTGTCCACATATTCCCATTAATTGTCCTCCATATTCCCTCTAGCTGTTCACAATGTTCCGATTAATTGTTCACCATATTCCCATTAATTGTTCACCATATTCCCATTAATTGTTCACCATGTTCCCATTAATTGTTCACCCTATTCCTGTTATTTGTCCACATGATTCCGTTTAGCTGTCCACCATATTCCCATGAATTGTTCACGATGTTCCCATTAACTGTTTGCCATGTTCCCTCCCATTACTTGGCCACCATTAATTGTTCACCATATTCTCATAAATTGTTCACCATATTCCCATAATTTGTCCACCATATTCCCTGTAATTGTTCACCATAATCCCATTAATTATCCACCATACTCCCTTTAATAGCAAGAGCTTTAATTCTGCTGCTTAGCATGATGCAGGAACTCTTGATTCAACAGTTGGAAAATTTAATTTTGCATGAACAATGCATTTACCTTTGAGATATTTGTTTTGAAACTATATGTTTTCTACAAACATTACTGAAGAATGTGATAACACATAAGTGATATTACTTTTGTGTAATATTCACTGAACAGATTTGGTTTCAATTAATTTGATTTTAGCATTCCCTCCAGACCAGTAGGCACATTATATACTGGTACTTGAACATCTGATCCTCCTGGGCCAGAAGACTGAGGTCGTGTTATAATAAATCCTTATGATCAGATGATACAAAAAAACAAGTTGATAAAATGTCTTGATAAAATTAGGTCTGATTAAATAGTACATAACCTAAAGTGTGATCTTATGATTTTATTTTCTCATAAAAATGTATCTATCTGACAGCGCTGAAACTTTGTTTTGCAAGAATATATTGTATCTATTGAAATGAGATCAGAACATACAGCTTACTGGACAGTCATCTGCATAGTACTAGAGGTGTGGTCCACTCACAAGCACCTGGATGATTGAATCACCTGTTGTTGACTCCAGGACCACGAGAAGCTGCGAGATGATGGTGACTTGGACATGGAGAATAAGGCCCCCCATCAACCACAACACTCTACCACTCCTTACGGCGCCATTCCTAATGGGCAGGCAGAACAGGAAGGTAAGTTGTGTTTTGGTAAAACTCAAGTTTAAGCCTGCTTTTTTAAAGCTGAGAAAAATATACTAAGAAATGAGAATAATCTTTCACCCATCAGCAGCTGATCAGTTGTACCCACAGTTTGGGTGAAACATTTCTTGTAAGAGCAGTCACAGCAGATTGTCCTTGTTTCAGATGACACAGACCCAAAACATGCTAAAAAGATGGAGAAGGAACTGAAGAAGATGGAGAAGAAGGAGGCTGGAGACAAGAAGACCCTGAAGGGAACTGCAAAAGCCGTCAGTCTGGCAAAACAGCTCTCACCTAAAACTCAACGCAAGAAGGACAAATTGCTCAACTCTACATCGCAGCTCAAGGTGAGACACAATGTTCAGTTACACAATATTTCTTCCCCGCTTCAAGAACTAGAACTGAACTAAGTCAAAATGTCCTTGGTTTTTTCTCTTTGGTTTATGGAGTGGTCAAGTGGAGCCTAAAGGCTGAAACGGACAAAGATACACCAGCTGTGGCCAGTTGTCCTCCATTGCCTGGGTATTTCCCAGACATGGGGAAGGAAAATGTTACTGATTCAGCCTACATGGTCATGGCACCTTTCCATTGATCTGACTGTATAGTTTCCTAGTGGCTGGAACAGGAGCACAAGGCAGGTTACCTTATGGTTGTGTGCTGTGTTACAAGAGGTATGTTCTTGTACCCTCTCATATGTTTAACATTCCCTCGGACATCTCCATTGTAACAAGCAGGGTTTGGGGAAGATTATGACAAACTGTCAGAGGGCAAGCTGCAAGGTGGTTTTAGTAGCATTGTAACAAGCAGGGTTTGAGGAAGACTTTGACAGACTGTCAGAGGGCAAGCTGCAAGGTGGTTTTAGAAGCATTGTAGCAAGCTGGGTTTGAGGAAGACTATGACAGACTGTCAGAGGGCAAGCTGCAAGGTGGTTTTAGAAGCATTGTAACAAGCAGGGTTTGAGGAAGACTATGACAGACTGTCAGAGGGCAAGCTGCAAGGTGGTTTTAGAAGCATTGTAACAAGCAGGGTTTGGGGCAGACTATGACAGACTGTCAGAGGGCAAGCTGCAAGGTGGGGGGAAGACTATGACAGACTGTCAGAGGGCAAGCTGCAAGGTGGTTTTAGAAGCATTGTAACAAGCTGGGTTTGAGGGAGACTATGACAGACTGTCAGAGGGCAAGCTGCAGGGTGGGGGGAAGACTATGACAGACTGTCAGAGGGCAAGCTGCAAGGTGGTTTAAGAAGCATTGTAACAAGCAGGGTTTGAGGTAGACTATGACAGACTGTCAGAGGGCAAGCTGCAAGGTGGGGGGAAGACTATGACAGACTGTCAGAGGGCAAGCTGCAAGGTGGTTTTAGAAGCATTGTAACAAGCAGGGTTTGAGGAAGACTATGACAGACTGTCAGAGGGCAAGCTGCAAGGTGGTTTTAGAAGCATTGTAACAAGCAGGGTTTGAGGAAGACTATGACAGACTGTCAGAGGGCAAGCTGCAAGGTGGTTTTAGAAGCATTGTAACAAGCAGGGTTTGAGGACAACTATGACAGACTGTCAGAGGGCAAGCTGCAAGGTGGTTTTAGAAGCATTGTAACAAGCAGGGTTTGGGGAAGACTATGACAGACTGTCAGAGGGCAAGCTGCAAGGTGGGGAGAAGACTATGACAGACTGTCAGAGGGCAAGCTGCAAGGTGGCTTTAGAAGATGCCAGTAAGAATTACTTCATTCTGAAAACCAGTATCACCTTTAAGTATGGGTCAGTGTCATTGCTTTCCATCTTTTTGTGTATTTTGTTTTCCTTTTGCCTCTATTAGAGCTTTATGTGTCACAGCGATGTAGATACAACATGTATGACATTTCCACACCGATCTTACGAGGGTCACAAATGTCACTGTATGAAATAACCTTTGTACAAGTTCTATGAGAATGTGACGATTATATGAAAGTGTTGTTGCACACAGTTCCATGGTATTGTAAACAAGTTGATGAGACGAGAGATTGAGGAGGAGACAAAGGAAGAGAAAAAACAGGATTTGGAGGGTATCTTCGAGGTATTAACACAAGGTCATGTGATGTCACATGATCAAATGTATCAACTTGCATGATCAAATTTACATCAATCCTGATTAAAAATACTCATATTCACAGGAATGGAGTTTCTTTCTTCTTCATAGCAAAGATCTACCATCTAACATAATTAACTTCACATTTCCATGAAAGACATACATAAAACAGGGGAAAATGTCATTTTGTGATCAGTCGAAAATATATCTTGATGAAAGTTGTTTCTCCATTTTCTATAGATGTTAATTAATGTGAAGTTATGTTCAGTAGAACATGGTTATAACATGGTTAGAACAAACTTGTTCAATAGTCCTCATTAATTTAATAAATATTGCCATGGAAAATGCATACACTAATTATGCATAATGAATTATCTTTAAATTGCATCCCAATATTCCACTTCAAACAGACCTCAAGGTGACCATATTCTTGCGTGAGTAACTAACTGGTGAAACGCAAAGCACTCTGTGAGTGATGAATCAAATGACATACACCTAATAATCCCATTATCACTCCAGTACATCTACAGATAACTTAGCTACTTCAGCTACATTCAGTGGTGAATCAGCACTAATACTATAACACTCATGCTATTGTCTCACTGGTAGCAGTAAGATGTTGCTAGAGCTGGTGAATCAGCACTAATACTATAACACTCATGCTATTGTCTCACTGGTAGCAGTAAGATGTTGCTAGAGCTCGTCACTGCTTCTATCATTGCCCACTCAATCTTCTCTCAAATTATCAAGTCTCACTTCCAGATAGTCTTTCAGAGGCATTTAGAAGTGATACACATGTGAGAATTTATGGATGTCAACTTCTTTATTATGAAGAACACAATGTTTCAGAGTATATTTTTATTTTTTTCAACGCTCACCTGATGAAGGAGTAAGGATATACTCTGAAACATCATGTTCCTCATGATAATGAAGCTGACATCAATAAACCCTCAACCGTTCACTTCCACATGTTCATTTCAAGCAGTATAATGATCTTGCTCAGAAATTGGACTTGTGTTTACAATGGTGAGGGCTGATAGTGAACGACAAAAATATAACAAACCAGCTGAAAAGGTTCTGTGAAATTTGTTATAACTATGTTTTACTGCAATTTCTTCAGCATACACATTAACATGGACTGGAATGTGTAAACCTGATACTAGATCTGTTTGAAGTTTGCATGGAAGATTATCAACTGAAATTGACTGTACAGGAATAAGGCCTTAACTCTGGCAGGTCGAGATGAATGTGTAGATATGATACCTGTATGTTTGGCTGGGGGAATTCAGGTATATTATAAACAGGTAGAATAAGTATAATTATATCTATAAACAGGCATCACAACCGATCCATGTTTGTAAAATAGATGAGGTGTACAACACTGCATGTGAATTGCCTCTTGTGTGCGAGGTATTCATGCATGTTTACACTGAGCACTTCAGGGTTGGCTGGGTAGAAGAACAGGGAGAATATTAAAAAAAGTCTTTTCATAAGTAGGAAGTAGGAATTTGGTATGTATGTGAAATAGTTCAGTGGCAAACTGAATAGGCTGTAAGTGGAAACTTTGCAAAGAGGACCTCACTTCTGTCAAACAATAGTTTAGATCGGTTACATGGCAGCCATTTTAGAACTTTCTATATGGAGAAGCGATGCTCTTACTTGACCTACCAGGTCAGCCATACTGAATCACTGGTCATACTTCTAGTAGACGTCTGGGGGAAATGGATCCATAGTACCTCATGCTTGTTAGAGTAGCCAAACTTGGGCTGTGTGACTTGGCTGACTTCATGTAATACATGTAATGCCTTATCCCAGCTTTTGCTCTCAGTCCTCTTCTGTACCACATATGCATAACTGTACATTGTTTAGGGAGCAGATCACTTCATTCTTTCCTTGATATAATCTAGCATGTGGGTTGTGTGCAATGAGGAGTTTTTCTTGGCTGTATTTTCATACCAACCATTTGTTTTCATTCTTCCTTATTTAACAAATTCAATGACTACATCAGAGGCCATATAATAAATTTACATTTGAGGTTTTACACTGGAAAATATTTGATAATAGACAAATACAACCTAGCCATTGAATATATATTACTAATATCCTTATGGATAGGTTGTTATTATATCCTTCTTTACCACAGCACATCATTCCTTTTCTATGCACTAATTCCAAACTGCATCACATGCATTGAGATACTGGAGAGGATTTTACAGACTCATCTCTTGATTGAGCATGAGTTGCTTCCCTTTGACTGTAATGTTTCTTTCCTATTGGATTTGGTTTCTAAATATTTAATGCATCATTTTCATTGTTCTTTATTGTTAATATTTGTTTTGTATCAGTTGGTTGTAGTTAAAAGTTGTTCTACCACTGCATTGTAAATTTAAATATTTTGTTTCAGAGGGAGTTTTCATTGCTAGTGTATATAAAATGACGAATAGGTTCTGTACAGGGTAATGTTCCTGTTCTGTGTAATGAACACCTCCCTCAGACTGTAGGAGACTTTGCTAATTGTTGGATATACAATCAGTGTACATTGTTCATGTGAGGCATCATGCTTCACAGTGATTATTTGTATTTTTGTTACTTTTTGTTACGTTTTCCAGGTTTTTCCCAATGAACTTGAGAATCAGTCTGAGTATGAAGGATTCCGGGAGTGGCTTCACACATTTGAGTTGTACCGTGGCAAAAAGACAGGAGACGAGGAGGCAGATGAGAGCAGAGTGGTTGGCAAGTTCAAGGTCAGATACAAAAGTTCCAAGTGTGTTTGTATGTGATAATGTGAAAGTGAAGCTGAATATTCATGCTGCATGTCACCAGACATAGCTGATCCACACAACATATTTACCACAAATGTAGCGTCCCCACTGGTCTAAGGTTCTGCAATTTGCTGTGTTGAGTTACTTGCTTCTGTTACCCAAGGATAATCTGATCATGGTTGATTGTGACTGGTGGTCCTTACCATACCAATGCTCACCGACTTTCACAAAAGGGATAAATGCTCAAAGCAGCTTTCAACGAACTCTCTTCAGGATTGTTGACATATAACAAACTTGGGCAGTACCACTCATCACAGAGAGAATCGACAAGAAGAGGAGAGCCTTCCAGTGAATGACTATTGCTAGTTATGGCATTGCCAGAGAGAGAGAGTGAGTAAGTGAGTCAGTTTAGTTTTACGCCGCACTCAGCAATATTCCAGATATATGGCTATATGTAAATAATCGAGTCTGGACCAGACAATCCAGTAATCAACAGCATGAGGATCGATCTGCACAATTGGGAACCGATGACATGTGTCAACCAAGTCAGGGAGCCTGACCACCCGATCCTGTTAGTCGCCTTTTACAACAAGCATGGGTTACTGAAGATAAATTCTAACCTGGACCTTCACAGGCTGAGAGAAATAGAGAGAGAGACCACATGTATTCCAAGTGATACTGCTACAATGAAGTCATCTTGCTGGCATGTTTCAATCTGCCATTATATTGAAATAGATTGAAAATTGATAGAGAACAGCTGTTTTATTGAGCTAAGGTTAATTTGTGCAGTGTCACATGACTTTAGTTGACTTGTAAGCAACAGCTTATTGGTTTGGGCATGATAAATGAGAAATCCACATGCAGGCTGTTTCTTCAGTGTATAAGAGATGTATTCAGCCTTCCTGAAATGTTATTTTGCTCCAAAGGGCTATATATATATTTGTTTGTTTGCAATTTTCAAGCAATATCTGTCTGTAAATAGTCAAGTCTTGACCAGACAATCTAGTGATCAACGGCATCAGTCATTGATATATGCAATTGGGATACAATGACATGTGTCAGAAAAGTCAGCGAGCCTCACTTCCCACCCGATCCCATTAGTTGCCTTTGATAACAAGCATGGGTTGCTGAAAACTAATTCTTACCCAGACCTTCTTGGATCACATTAAGTAATCAGATGTCAGCATTCCGACATGGAAGTAAGAAAACATGTCATAATCTAGCTCTGTGGGAAGCTAATCTAGAAAGGTTCTTGAAATGATTTGTACTGTTGTCACTTCACATGTACCAGTGTATTATATATGTCACTGTTGGTTTTCTAAGACGGTGGTCATAATCAGTCCATATTCCTAAAGGCCAGCTCAGAGGGATTAGGAAAATATGTCTAATAAAGACATTTTTACACTTGCCAGTGTGTCATACCGATTTGGTGAAACTCATGTAAGAATTTATGTATTACAAAGCTCATGTTAGAATTTATGAATTACAAAACTTATGTAAGAATTTATGAATTACAAAACTCATGTATGAATTTATGTATTACAAAACTTATGTAAGAATTTATGAATTACAAAACTTATGTAAGAATTTATGTATTACAAAGCTCATGTTAGAATTTATGAATTACAAAACTTATGTAAGAATTTATGAATTACAAAACTCATGTATGAATTTATGTATTACGAAATTCATGTGAGAATTTATGTATTACGAAACTCATGTAAGAATTTATGAATTACAAAACTCATGTAAGAATTTATGTATTATTTAGGTAGTGCATAAATCCTTACATTAGTTTTGCGAAATCGGTATGACACACTTACAAGTGTTAAAATTTCTTTTCTCACTCGAGAAATGCAAAATTTGTATTCATGTTTTTGTAAAATCTTGATGACAAACAAGCTTCTATAATCATCTCTCTTCGTAAAATATCATGACTAGAATCAGGTGACATATCATGGTACACTACAGCTTGGGAGATCATTGGAAAAACATAATTAGGAAAAAAAAGTAGCTTCATTTCTCAAATATGTTGGCAGACAGAATTTAAATGTCAAATTCAATACATAAGTCTTTTTCATGTTGCTCGTCAATAAGACACTGAAATCCACTGTTTATATTATGTACTAGGATTACATCAGGAACCGTTTTTTAAAAAGGGTTACCTCCCTTTGTCCATCCAAGTGTGTGGTCAAGTATACTTGTATGCTAATCCACTGTTTGATAAATGCTTTATGCTATTTTGCAAAGTCTTTCCACTTCCAGTTAAGTGGATTGTAATATTGTTGCATCATTCATATGCTGAAATATAATGCTGAACTATTGTCAAAATGGGCTTCAGAAAATTATTGAAAAAAGACAAACAACTTTATTTAGTATTCCGGTTTTGTGTGCAAACTGTACTGAAGTGCTGAGTATAAAGGGTGTTTTTTGCAGGGTTCCTTGAAGATCTACAAGTACCCCCTTCCCCCCGACATTGAGGACACCACCATCACAGGAGGAGACCCTGCCTTTGGGTTGTTTCAGGGGCTGCCAAGCAATGACCCCATCAAAGTTCTGGTCCGGGTGTACATAGTCAAGGTCAGTGCACCTGGGATTTACAATTTACACACTCTGTAAAGGCAGCAACATATTTAACACGTTCTACGTTTCTCATGAATTTGATTACTATATCTATTTGGTCCAAAAATGGCAGACCAATTTTCTAAAGTTAAATTACTATTTTTATGGTAGTTAAAAATTTGTTCACCCTTAGAATCACGATTACATGCGTTCATACGGCATGAAAAATGTTTTGAGAGACCCATGTAATTGAAAATATAAAACGTTGCATTTTGATTTTTGGCAGATAATTGTAGGTAACTAGTCTGCTATGTTTATGTGTTTTAGGCCAATGATCTTCACCCTGCTGACATTAATGGCAAGGCTGATCCCTACCTGATCATTAAACTGGGCAAGACAACCATCAATGACAAAGAGAACTACATCTCAAAACAGCTGAATCCTGTCTTTGGAAAGTAAGTTGTTTGAAATACTGAATATGAATGTGAAATATGAATGAATTTATAGGTGTATGTTCCAGCTTATCCCTGATATATATATTTGGTTGGTCTGGTGGGATGTTTTTGTCCAGGGCCAGGTATTGCCCACCAGGACTGGAGGTTGGGTAAAACTGTGTCAAGGCCTTCTTTCCAGCTTTTTATGGTGGCAGTAATGTTGGTAGTGATAATAGCAACACATCTTTTTTAAAACTGTATTTAATAACACCATGTGTGGACAGGACACGTAGGCATCAGCTGGTCATTCAGATGGAGGAGTGTGACAGTGTTGCCGTACTCAGATGTCCACTAATTATAGATGCTACTATGAGAGATGTGGAGAAGAGCTCACTGTGGTGTTGACAGAGTTGCTGATGTATTACTGCAGAACTTGGGATTAACTATGTCAGAGAGTAATTAATGATGCAAGCATTAATGCATTATAAAGGTTTAGACCATCATTAACTTGCAAAATATGTTGTCAAAGCATATCACAACATTCTTGATGTGATTACAACCTTGAGCTTTGTGTTGCAAATGAGGGTAGAGGAGATAAAAACAATTCTGTAGTCGAACCAGCAACTGATGCTGTAGTCATACACCACCTTTCACAAGACATGTCCTTCTTCAACACTGGATTTCCATACTGTGCAAGGGCACATGTATGGCCCAGTGATTTAAGGCAATGGAACAGACATGGATGTAAAATAATTTAACGGTGACATCTGCCTGGTTGGAAGCTTGCTTTCTACTTCATCTTTCAAAATGGATTATTGCTAGCTTCAGCCTCTTCTAGGTGAGAACAGTCTTATAATGATGATATCTGTTAACTCACTAGTTATGCCGGTCGGTGTCGGCACAGGTACTACAGATATGCACCGCAGTATGTTTCTCTATACAGAAATATACCCTAAACAAAGTCAAAATACAGAAATGGACCCGGTACCCGAAACATCGGTTGAGCCCATATTCCGCTATCAAAAGACGAAACCATATGTAGTTGTTTCCATTCAACTGATTGCGAGTGGTGTTGTGTAATCAAATGCATTTAATACAACAGTTATTACAGTTCCGATTAAGAAAAAGGTACAATATGGAATGGACTTGTCCTAGAGTACGTTTCTGTCTTGTGATGTTGTACCTGGGGTACACATCTGTAGTACCTGTACCGACAATGATCCCATCAGCCCTAGTTACCCCTAATGTGCCCTAGTTATCCCTAATGTGCATACATGACACATCAGCAACAACTGACCAAGGCAGGCATTGGTTCCCTATGAAGTATGTCTGTCACTGGCCACAAAAATTAGCAATGATTGAAACATTACATAATCAGTCCTTGTTTTGATTTGTGTTGTGCATTTATCAACATACAGCAATCAAACAAAAAGAAGTATTCTTCTGTGGCAACGTCTTTTGTCCCGAGGTCATCACGTCAGTTGTGTAGTACAACAAACAAGGTCATCATTTCTTTAGCAATGACAATATAACTTTCAACTTTTGTGACTGAAAACACCTAGACTCCCTGGCCTACTCATGCCCACCCATGTCCCACATGGCTCTAGTGCAAGTAACATATGTTATATTTGGGATTACACTTTCATAGCAAAGTACAGATTCTACTACTTTTGGGGTTGAGTCCCATCCGGGAATTTGAACCCACACCCTCAGAGTCAGGCACCTAATCGCCAGCAGACAAAGTCAGACACCTAGACCGCTCAGCCACCGCAGCTTCCAGTGGAAGTCGGACAACTGGTAGTCTAGAATGCGGACTTTGTGTACCCCTCTGATAAATGTTAATTGGCATGGCTCCCACAGCCGAAAGCTATGAAATACGCAATGCCATTTTAGAAAGTGGTCAAATGTGACATATGTTATATTTGGGATTACACTTTCTAAGTAAAGTACATATTCTAGTACTTTTTTGGGTTACCTCTCTGAGGGTGTGGGTTCGTATCCTGGATGGGACTCAACCCAAAAAGTACTAGAATCTGTACTTTACTAAGAAAGTGTAATCCCAAATATAACATATGTTACATTTGACCAGCCATATAGCTGGAATATTGCTGAGTGCGGCGTAAAACTAAACTAAACTTAAAACTTTTGACCAGTTTCTAAAATAGCATTGTGTATTTCATAGCTCTGGTGGGTTGTTCACTGTCAGGTGAGGGACTGAGCCATATCAGATATAAACAGAAACACAAAGCATACTTGCTGCTGCATGGGATTGAAAAATAAATACACATTCTACAAATAATATAGTCACATCAAAGGATGTAAGTGTCCTTCTGAAACAATGCTTTATTAAAGTTCACATGGAGCTGAGATTTTAATGTTATTACAGTTCAGGGTAAAACTATGCTTTATTACACTTCATATCGGGGTAGAACAAACTTGATTTCTTATGTAGATTTACTATGTGAATTTAACATGAGTATTTCACGTCATGGGCTGGAGAAACACATGTCACTTTGAAAGAAAATCAAACACAGTTGTTAAAAAAGCCACATTTCTCGTACCATTTCACTTATTCATCTGGATCGATGTTCATGCTGTTGATCACTGGATTGTCTGGTCCAGACTCGATTATTTACAGACCGCCGTCATATAGCTGGAATATTGCTGAGTGCGGCGCAAAACTAAACTCACTCACTCACTTATTCATCTGTGTCTGGTGACCACTAGATGGGTCAATATTACACATCATGACACCGTCATATGAACTGGTGGTTGACAAGTATATGCAGTAATTCTTTCATAACTGGCAAATCATAGCTGTGTTGCAGAAAGTACCATGAAGAATGACCAGCATCTTATTTACCTAACACTTCAGGTAACTATTGATTTTTTAATTTCTGAGACAACCTGATAGATTTTATTCCAATGTACTAATAATGACAATGATGTTTATTGTAGTGGGTAGTTAAAGAAGCGAAAAGTTGACCTTTGACCTTTGTCCATCATTTTAGATATTATTATCAGGGCATCTAGAAATGTTCTTATATTTCATTTCATTAGATGACATACAAAAAATATCTTTATGTCTCCAGTTACAAATAAAAGTTAATTGCACAGGAGAATTTTCATAGGAGTCCGTGAGGTCAACTGAAGGTACTGACCCAAACGAGGACAATCAATACTTTTTAATCAAGCAATGTATCATTTTACATGTACAAAAACAATAACTCTGGTTGGCAACAGCTAGAATCTTTTCTGCTGGTACCATTCTGAGACTGGTTAGATTAATGAACTGTTTTATTCTATACACGCATCACACTGTTTGTGATCATATTTAAACATAATACCACTACAATTATAATGTTTTCAAAGTACAGTAAACAATTCCAGTAAGACAGTATTTCAATTTGGCAACATTCAGATTAACAAAATATCGTAGTTTGTAACATTGTCTCATGAAGTAATATTTCATTGATTATGTTGTATTTTTGTCAAAAAAGCTATAAGAATGAAATACATAATATTGTTGTATATTGTTATTGTCAATGTAACCTGTCTTTGATTCAGTGTCTGTATTCAGTCCTGAGAAAAATGGCTGACTATAATCAGGGAGGCAGGTGAAGGTCAGAGGTGGCATTGACTGATAGCCTTTGACCCTGTTTCCCACATCTTATCCCATTTTATGGGCAAGCTGCTTTGATGTTCAAAGCTGCCATACTGTGATGCTGTTAAAGAGAACTAATTATCAGGGAAACAAAATTAAACTGTCTCTTAAAGATTTCATTCAAAGTGAGCATATCTGGCTTGAACACTGACCACTTCACATTGTGGATCTCTAGGTTTATTGGCCACTGACCACTCCACCATGTGGACTTCTAGGTTTATTGGCCACTGACCACCCCACCATGTGGACTTCTAGGTTTATTGGCCACTGACCACCCCACCATGTGCACTTCTAGGTTTATTGGCCACTAACCACCCCACCTTGTGGACTCCTAGGTTTATTGGCAACTGACCACCCCACCTTGTGGACTTCTAGGTTTATTGGCCACTGACCACTTCACCTTGTGGACTCCTAGGTTTATTGGCCACTGACCACTCCTCCATGTGGACTTCTAGGTTTATTGGCCACTGACCACCCCACCATGTGGACTTCTAGGTTTATTGGCCACTGACCACTCCACCATGTGCACTTCTAGGTTTATTGGCCACTGACCACCCCACCATGTGGACTTCTAGGTTTATTGGCCACTGACCACCCCACCATGTGCACTTCTAGGTTTATTGGCCACTGACCACCCCACCTTGTGGACTCCTAGGTTTATTGGCCACTGACCACCCCACCATGTGCACTTCTAGGTTTATTGGCCACTGACCACCCCACCTTGTGCACTTCTAGGTTTATTGGCCACTGACCTCCCCACCTCGTGGACTTCTAGGTTTATTGGCCACTGACCACCCCACCTTGTGCACTTCTAGGTTTATTGGCCACTGACCACTCCACCATGTGGACTTCTACGTTTATTGGTCACTGACCACCCCACCATGTGGACTTCTAGGTTTATTGGCCACTGACCACTCCACCATGTGCACCTCTAGGTTTATTGGTCACTGACGACCCTACCATGTGGACTTTTAGGTATATTGGCCACTGACCACTCCACCATGTGCACTTCTAGGTTTATTGGCCACTGACCACCCCACCTTGTGGACTCCTAGGTTTATTAGCCACTGACCACCCAACCATGTGCACTTCTAGGTTTATTGGCCACTGACCACCCCACCTTGTGGACTTCTAGGTTTATTGGCCACTGACCACTCCACCATGTGGACTTCTAGGTTTATTGGCCACTGACCACCCCACCATGTGCACTTCTAGGTTTATTGGCCACTGACCACCCCACCTCGTGGACTTCTACGTTTATTGGCCACTGACCACCCCACCATGTGCACTTCTAGGTTTATTGGCCACTGACCACCCCACCATGTGGACTTCTAGGTTTATTGGCCACTGACCACCC